TTCGCCCCTTTGCCAATTGACACAAAATGGACAAGGCCCTTTTGGCAGCTTCAACGACGATATCGTTCTTCTCGGGAAGAGGGTGACATTTTGACTGACTTAATATAAAGTTAAAACCGCACCCACAGTGGGAGTGGTCATCTGCGACTTTTCTGGTTTTGCAAATCCATGCCATGTGCCATATCAATTTTCTCAGCTCCTCCAGGGGATATCGATTGCGTACTTAAAATTTACTGACCACACCCCTAGTGGGAGTGGTCGTCTGGAACTTTCGGTTTTTAGAAAACGTGCGTTGTGATATATCAATTTATCAGCTCAATGGACGGGCTACGATGAAGAATGGAATTTTTTTACATCACAATGGGTACAGAGATCAACGCTATCGATTGTACACATATGTACCTGTGCAGCAAAACTTTATTCATTCAAAGATGAGTCATCCCGATTTCTGACTTCAGATTTCCATCCACACTCATAATGGAGGTGCAGATCATATTCAGCCCAGATAGTTCTTTGACCATGTTAGTTTGGAAGAACAAGCTTTTAAAGACAATTTTTGGTTTGGCACTTGTACAGACGCGCAAAATTCAGCACGTTATGGGCTCCGCAAGTCCGCAAAAACGCTTGATTTTTCAACAACCTCCATCGCGAACGCAACTTTTTTTCCGTTTCGCCCGCTCGCTCTCTCACTCCCACGCGATGACATCTGGCCCCATTTCTTAATTCGCTCCACGTACTATGCTTGGGGTGAAAAATGAAAGAAGTGAGAGATCCTTTCATTTACAATAACCCATCTGAAATAACTGAACATTTCACTAATTTTCATTCACAGAACGAAAAATTCATTTTCATTCTCTAGCATTTTCTCATATGAATGAAAGACAACAGGAATGATTGTGCAGCACTAATGCATAGATAAACTAAAACCCGGTTGTATGCTGCGCGTCACGAAGGCTGTAGCGTCTGAAATGAAGTTTATTCAGCCATCGTGTTTAGGTTTATCCTGGATATAATTTAACTGGTTTCCAACTGTAGTAAGTTTGGTTAAGAAAAATCTAATGGGTGTTGTCTAATTGGTGTAATGGGTGTAAATATGCATACCAGAAAAATAAACACAAAAATTTACTGCAAAAGTTTAAACCCGTTCCATATTAAAAATTATTTCATAAGGAAACGACAGTGAAACACGTATTTGACAATAATTTACATTTATTCTAGTCCGCGTACTTGCAAAAAGGTAAACAATTGGAAAGAATCGGAAGTTGACCATTGCGTGGAAATCATATTGCAAATTTCCAAAAGCGAGACTAGGGCTCCCTAAAAATTAGTGCTATTATTAAATCCCCCATATCAAAATCCTTCTTAGGAAATAGAAAAATATATGTGCCGTACCAAGTAATCCTAAATCGGGCCAGCAAACAGTCAAATCTCAGCAAATTGACTGAAAATTGTTTCAAATTCAATCCAAAATCATTGGATGCCACTACAAAATTTGACTTCATACAACAAGGGGCATTGTGAGATCCAAATTAGCTCATGAAATGTGAAGATGAGATTACATGAACACAATCTCAAGGGTAGTTAGTCCGAGAAAAGTGTGGAAAAAATGAGCTGAGAAAACCGATATATCACAAGACACCTTTTCGGAAAAACCGAAAATTACCAAGGCCCACACCCACTGTGGGTGTGGTTCGTAAATTTTAGGCATTCAATCGTAATGCCCTCATGGTCCGGAGAAAAATGATGTCCCATGACATTGTTTCATTGATATGGAAAAGTCGCCAAGGACCACACCCACTGTGGGTGTGGTTCGTAAATTTTAGGCATTCAATCGTAATGCCCTCATGGTCCGGAGAAAAATGATGTCCCATGACATTGTTTCATTGATATGGAAAAGTCGCCAAGGACCACACCCACTGTGGGTGTGGTTCGTCAATTTTAGGCATTCAATCGTAATGCCCTCATGGTCCGGAGAAAAATGATATGTCCCATGACATTGTTTCATTGATATGGAAAAGTCGCCAAGGACCACACCCACTGGGGGTGTGGTTCGTAAATTTTAAGTATTCAATCGTAATGCCCTCATGGTCCGGAGAAAAATGATATGTCCCATGACATTGTTTCATTGATATGGAAAAGTCGCCAAGGACCACACCCACTGGGGGTGTGGTTCGTAAATTTTAGGTATTCAATCGTAATGTCCTCATGGTCGTGAGAAAATTGATATGTCACATGACTTGGTTTCATTGATATGGAAAAGTCGCAGAGGACCACACCCACTGGGGGTGTGGTTCGTCAATTTTAGGCATTCAATCGTAATGTCCCCATGGTCCTGAGAAAAATGATCTGTCACATGACATTGTTTCATTGATATGGAAAAGTCGCACAGGACCACACCCACTGGGGGTGGGGCATGTGACCCCAGGAACATTGTTCAGTGTCCAGGGGGTCGAGGTATTTTGTCGACTTGCAATCCGATTTTTGTGCTTTCAAATTCCGCTGTATGCATTAATTGAATTTTATGCTTTTTTTGAACTTGTGACCTTAATTTCGAGGGGGTGTGGTCGAATTTCGAAAATCTGGAAATATATATTTTGCCAATTGACCTGAGGTTTCCAAAACAGTCGTAATTTTGAAAATCGGTCATCAATTGGTAAAGTACTGCTAAATTCAGTCACCAATGTTATTAAGCATTACGACTCGTAATTTACGAGGTCGGCCAACAAGCCTCTCAGCAAGATACAATCTAAAATGTCTTTAATTTTAATGCCTCTACCATAATAATTCTTGACTTCTTGTTAACTATGACCCCTCCCCAGTGACCTCGGAGAGCGATGGTATTCAGGATTAATTGAGCCCTTCCTGTAAGGTCAGAAATTGATCGTAATTTTTACCTCACACAATCGCCCTCCACTGAGGAGGGCTGTTGGCTGACAAGTAGTCAAGTAGTCATGTAACGTAACGTGAAAATAAGATTCGTCTTATTACATACATATTTAGGCGTGTATGTAGAATTTGCAATCATGTCGTTAATTTTGTTATTATAAAATTTGGTAATGTCATTCCCATCACAATAAATATTAACGGATCAAATCACATTTCGTATCGAGTTGCCAAGGCAACTGTGGTATTTAAGCTGAGCGACTAGTTAGACGAACCAGAAGTGACTCTAATTTGGAATTGATTGAAGACGAGTAGGTAATAAAGAGGAAAATGAGAGCACTACGTACATATTAATGAATCCACCCGCAGCGCCTCTTATCGAGAAAGTTTTCAACCCACTACCGCAAATTTGTTAACTTGAACAATGCAATTTGTAATTACACTTATTCACTGCAACATATTACCGTAAAAACTCAAATAGTAGCCGTTGCTCTAATAGTAGCCCTGCCCAAATAGTAGCCTTGCCCAAATAGTAGCCCTGCCCAAATAGTAGCCTTGCCCAAATAGTAGCCCTGCCCAAATAGTAGCCTTATTCGAATAGACGCGTCTTTAAACCACACTTCTTGACAGTTCATTAAGATAATTAAATTATAATTCAATACAATCGTAGTTACACGCTATAGAAGCGATGAGTCGATGACAAAACTCGAATTTAGCTCATCGAAGGAATCATTGAAGGGCAGGTCGAGCAGAATAATATCATAATGAGCTACGTCTCTAAGGGCAAAATTGGTGTTGTTATTAAATTAAATTTGAGCTTGATTCAGGAAGCGAAAATACTAGTTGTATGCAAATAGTAGCCGTGTCCATCTTCATAATTTTAGAAATATCGACCTTGCCCAAATAGTAGCCTTGCTCAAATAGTAGCCGCGTCCCAGCCACAGATTTTATAAATAGTAGCCCCGGCTACTATTTGAGTTTTTACGGTATGTACAACTCATCAATCAATATCAGAATCAAGCATCTCAATGCACCCCTTTTTACATATACATTTCAGGCATTTCCCGTAGCATATTTTTATCGAATTTCTAAAAAAGTATCTCGAACAGATAGATACACACACACACATAATTATGGTCGAGGGATTATAATTAAAGCCATTTTACATAAGGACTGTATGTAAAAATGGCTTTAATTATAATTTCTCGACAATAATACATAATTATGTACAAAGATCAAATTTATGATAATACATGCGTAAATTTCAGTGCCAAAAAACAGGGATTATAAAAACAGGGATGTATATGGATTACATAAATTCTGCAAAATATGTAAATATGTAATACATACATATGCGCTTAAAAAACCTAAAAATAGTAACATAAAAAATATTTTTCAACTTAAATTTTCTACTATATTTAGATATGAAATATATTTTTGACGAAACCTTAATTTCTGAATGAAGAAAAATATTTTCACATAAAAAACTTAGAAATATCTACTAAAATATTTACATTTAGAAAAATACTCGAAATATACAGGAAAATATGCATATTTACGAAAAATCCTCAAAATATGTATGGAAATATGTAATATGTACGAAACCCTTAAAATATGGAAAAAATTGAATTTTACGATCGCGCTTAGATGGAATGTCAGTATACGAAATTTTAGTCGGATCTGATTTGGTATAAAAAGTTTGGATACATACATACATATCCGCCGTCTGATAATCCCCGCCTGGTAATGGATATTACCGGAATTTTGAGATTGTAGGTAGTTACACCCCTCATACTACATATTTAGATAATACCGACCTTGCTACAACTATTGGCATTTTCATGCATGAGTCACTTAATCGTCTCTCGTGCAACATGCTTGCTCGGCGAAGGGTCCTTCATAAATTATGCTACGCGAAACGGTAGAAGAAAGGTTGTACCCAAAAATGACGATCTGCTTATGTGACATATGCTAGAGCGGGAAGGGTAGTCTAAAAAATCGCGACTTTTACGTAACACACTTTATGCACGGCCCCTAACGTTTCATAACGAATTACCTCACTACACTTGGCATGCATAGAAAATCCATAAGTGTAATAAACAATTGCAATTTTTGTTATTGCAGTCTGAGCTCGATTCGCACAAGTGTTGGTCATCTGTTTCCACTCCTAAGCGTTTGAACATTGCACAAAAAGGTTTATAATTTTTCCTGTCAAATACAAATATACATATTTTGTCACAGTTATTCTCACATACTTTTCCTTTCTTACTTTCTTTTTAGTCTGTTCAAGTTTGAGTCTGTTTTTCTAGCAGATTTTTATGCCCGTGTGAAAATAACGAAGTAGCCAAAAAACCGGAAGTGTATGTACTACATAATTGCTAAGTATTTAATTGCTAAATTTGTTCATCTATCGAATTTAACTGGACGTACCTATATTTAAATTCTACAGTTTAACATATGTATGTATTTATGCTCCAATTTTTATTTTTTTCAATAAACTTTCGCAACCTGCACTATTACAAATCTGGTAGAATTGATTTAGTAATAGGTTGGTTCCGGATAGGTTGTAGTTTATTGGTAAATTTATAATTACTAAAACATTACCAAACGGTAAAGTCCATTGTTACCAGTGCTGTTTGATAGAGTAGTACATACTCGGATCAGTAACCATCTAATACCAGTTTTTTAAGAGTGTAACTTGGAACCTGAACCAGTCACGCAAAACATGTAAATATTCCTAATTTTTAACATATTTTCTCCTTCTTTTCAATCTGTTCGAGTTTGGATCCGTTTTGCGAGAAGGCTTTTGTCCCCCCCTGAACAATATCGATACTCAAACGACCGTAAGTGTACCAATTTTTTTACTCATAATTAATTAATAAGTTCACCTGTAGAATTTAAGTGGGCACATATGTATATTTATTCCACTCTAACCTCTGCTTATGCACTCTAAAAATCCGGTGAAAAAAAAATTAGCAGGCGATTACAATCTGCCAGCATAATTTGTCTCCGGCTGGTGATAAATTTGTTAGGCTAGATTCGAGAAGGTGCACTATAAATAAAATTGAGTAAAATTGCCACCAAAGCAACTGTTGAGTAAAATTTACCCTGACAAAGGTAAAATTTACTCAAGGTTGAGCAAAAATCTTTCAACCTTGAGTAAATTTTACCTTTCTCAGGGTAAATTTTACTCAACAGTTGCTTTGGTGGAAATTTTTCTCAAAATTGAGTGAATTTTAATCAAATTTATTTAGAGTGTACATAATAAGTGCAACTTGGGAGTGAAAAATATTACCAGGGTGATAATAAATTTAGTGTAAGGAGGTAGAGTAACCTCTACATAGAACAAATTCTGTAGACGTTTTTGCTTATTTAAGTATTATTTTCCACCCTCCAATCAATCATACACTCTAAAACTCCGGTAGCATGAAAATTAACAGACGGTGACGATAATCATTTGGTAATCATTTGGTTACCGAGTAATAGTACACTCAAAATAACGTAGTAATGAATCATTACCATGCGGAATCACTATGTGGTTCTACCAGGTCGGTTACGATTTGTCGTAGAAATGGTAATAATAAGTTCAGGGAAATTCAAATTCAGTACCAAATATTAAGGAAGTGAATACCATTATCTATTAAATTTGAATTTCCCTGAACTTATTATTACCACTTCTACGACAAATCGTAACCGACGTGGTAGAGCCACATAGTCATTCCGCATGGTAATGATTCATCACTACCTTATTTTGAGTGTATGTACACGTGTTACCGTGAAGGTAATGAGTGTAACCTGGGACTGAAAAATATTACCATACTGGTAATAAACTTATTTTTACTATGCCATTTCGAATTTTCATTGGCTAAAAAAAGATTCTCATGAAAACAAAAATTCTGAGCAATTATTAGTCGAATTGGCCGTGTTTATGAATCAAGTGAAGCCGAGCATGTAAGTAAGAGCACCACAATAGATTGAATCCAGCCCCACCGCCTCCTCTGGAGGAAGTTATCAACCCACCAAATCCTGCTTTTTTTTAAGCTTGAACCATGCAGCTTATCATTGCACATTATCCTTGCAACATATTTACATATTTATTTACAACCCATCAATCAATGCCAGGATCACGCGTCTCAATTTTCCCATTTTTATGCATGTAACACGTTGAGGGGTTGGCGGAGCGAAAAAAATTCAATCCCGGAGTCTCTAAGAGATCAACTTTGCCGTACTGCCCGTCATAAATATCGATAATTTTTAATGACATTTATCGACACTCTTTTTTATATTTTTTTTGTACTTTGCTATTTTGGTCCTTAACGTTCTTTGGGAGACTTTGTTTATATTTTTCGTAATCCTCAGTTTATGAACTTGTGAATGTTGTGCAACAAAGATTTTGAAAATAGCAGTACCCGAGCAGCGCCACAAATTTATGTGGAAGAGTTAGTGCTGAAAAGTGTTTTCACGTCTTTTGCGGTTTGATCGGTGGCTATGAAAAGCGGAGGTCTGTAAATTTTTAAAAAGTGCACTTTTTGGCATCCCCATAGTTCGAAATATAAAGGTATATTGCCGTTTTGTGACATCTTTCCGCTTTCAAGTACTGCCACGTCATGTTTGAGTCACGTCAAGCAACAATTTAGTTGTGAAAAACTCGATTCGCGAGTTTTTTCACTTTGACCCCGATTTCTATTGAGTTTCGCCTTTTTAATAAAAAATGCTTTACACCTGCTGGAAGCCCTTGAAATTGCGTTTCAAAAAACTAAGATAGCTAAGCAACAATCTCCACTAATTGCGCAGTGTACTATATGATCCAACTGTCTAACCAAACCTGGGACATGCCTTATTAGATCGAATTGGCCAAGTAAAGTGATGATGAGAAAATGTGGAACATTTTGTTAATATAAAAAATCTATTTATTTTTATAATTTGCCTATTTACCCAGTACTCCCTCCATCAATTTATCAATATTGGTTTGATGACACTAACAATGCGACGACGCCACTGGTATCGTTCCGATTTTAATGAAACTATGATAATTATGTAGCCTTAGGTAAATAATTGAACACATGTTTCGGGATTTCTCATAATGCTCAGTTTAAACAAAGTTATGATGGTATAAGTTGCCGAAAATTCGCATTTTTCTCTCTGAAAAACAAAAACAGAAAAATTTTACGGGAAAAATGCGAATTTTCGGCCACTTATACCATCATAACTTTGTTTAAACTGAGCATTATGAGAAATCCTGAAACATATGTTCAATTATTTACCTAAGGTTACATAATTATCGAAGTTTCATCAAAATCGGAGCGAGACCTCTGGCGTCATCGCATTGTAAGTAAATAAGTAAATAGTATTAAGTTTAAACATTCCAACTTCACAATAACCATGCACACTCTTTTTAAACTTACAGAACCACCAATTTAATTTTCCTAATGGCTGAATCTCTTCCTCTGGAAAAAGCACTTGAAAATCTACACATATCAAAACCTCCAAAAAAACAAGCTCCATGTTTTGTCATCAACGTGATCGCACACGTTCCCGATGTACAAAACCCTGCGGAAATTTCGGACGAAGAATGCGACTGGGAAATGGATCAAGGGATCAAACTGGGAGGCGTTAAATTACGCATGGTCACGCTGAAAGATCCCAAACTCTCCACTTCCAGCGACTCAAACTGGGTGCATAATTTCATACATAAACTGGAACAGGAAGCATTAAATTGCGAAAATTGTTACCATCCAGACTTCACCCATGAAAATATTGCTATTGTAATATTTTTAAATAGAATGCTCTCCCTGAGCAAGGCCCATAATCAGGCGGCAGTTGACGAGTATAGGGTGGCCCTTAATATTAATCAGGATAACGTTAAAATTAAGTTTAAAGTAATTTGTGGGTTTTGGCAGAGAAAACTTTATAAATTGAAAGACAAAGAAATAACTTATGAGGAGGCTGTAAAGATTTATGAACGACTGGACGCAAAACATAGGGAAATATACTTGTCTACTAGGGAAAAAGGTGTTAGCGTGCCATATCAAAGTTTGCGAGAAAACTTAAAAAATTCCCAGGAAACAAAAGATTTTGTAAAACATTTTAGAAATCAAGACGCTAAAATGGTTTATTTAAGTTTAATTGATTCCGATACCGTCAATTTTAACGGGATATATTGTCAGTACTACGATTTAGCTGAAACTCAATCTCCTACCGTTATGTCCACCGGGTATAATTTCGAGCTTGATACCAAGTCAGGTGACGGGTTTAAAATTGCGAGCGAACTAGATAGACAAATTAGAATTAAAACAGCAAGCTATTTCCCATTCGGGGTTTATTACCCCGAACCGAATACTTGTATTTTGATTTCTCCCAAAACCGAAACTCTGGAAGAAAGTTTTATTGACCTCAAACGAGGTGATGGTAACGGACTTGAAAGCGCTGTCCTGCTCGGGAACATAATTCAGAAACGCCAAAAGTCCAAAAATTTAAAGTTCCTATTTTACCGGGGAAACCCACTAATTACCCGGATTCCTGACCGGGCTAGAAAAGTAAAGGTTACTAACCAAGATATAACATTTAGTCCCCAACTGACCCAAAGATTGCAAGTACTCCGGAAAGATATCGATACTTGTGCGAAAATTTCGCAAACTCATTTCGACCATTACAATTGGTTTACTATGTTAAACATCAATAAAGGCTTTACCTACAATACTAAAGAATTTAAAAACATAGGGAAATATGCTGAAGCAAATGAACCGCATATAAAAAAGTGTCTAAAAAAGAGGTACGACTACACTTGTAAAAGTTTGTTGAGCATGATCGGAAAAGGAAATGGCACTCCGGTCGAGCTTAACGATGCCGTGACGATTTTAAAGAAATTAATTTCACCTCCGGAAATAATGGATTTAATTAACCTGGCAGCACAGGAGATCAGAAGGTATAAAAATGATAACAAATCCTTGCTCCAAACCGCCTACGCGGCAATGATACAGGAATTATTTACCGATTTAGAAATACCTGAAATGGTTCATGAAATAGCCGAGCTCTTGAGTAAGGATAAAATTGATTTGCAAACTGTGGAAGCCGTTTGTGAAAAGGGTCATTCGTTTCCCGACGCCCAAAAATTTAAATGGCATTGTTTCAATTATGAAAATGGTGTCACCTGGTTTATAGAGCACTGCAAGTCGAAAGATAATTATGAAGATGCCGTCGAGTTTGTGAAAGAATATTATTGGGAAGATGTTGATTTGGTGGATATAGAAGAAACATTTTGTGAAGGGGACACTTCGGAAGGGTATGCTGAATGGGGTATGTTTATTAATTTGTGGGGGATGGACTGTAATGGAGTCCCTTTCGGGGAAGGGTTCGACGCTGAAGAGGAAGATATCGAATCGATGGTGGAATATTATCGGGATCATTAAAATCAGGTTTTACCATTACATGATACCAGTAGATAATTGCTCATCTATTATAACTATAATTAGGATACTTCAGCAATTATAAATTTTATTACCACAAATTAGATATATGTATATAGTTTTTTAGGATAATTATTAATCTTAAAGCAATCGCACTTACGCGTATACTATTTAGTACACTCTTAAACAAATCGTTACCAGAATGAATACCACGCGGAGTACATATATGACTCTACCGCTCTGGTATTCTTTTGGTTACTGGACGGGATTGATTTGGGTTAATACCAATCGAGTATTCATTTACAACAATAGCGTAATATTATTATTACTCCGTCTCGTATGTGCTCGTTACTGCTCGGTATTCTTAGAATACAACGTTGTAATAATGTTATTACTGCATGGGTTCAATACAGTGTACTTATGGTAATAATTTTCAAGGGTTCGTTACTCACTGGTAATAAAGTTTTGCTACAACTGGTGATATAATTTATATATTTTTATTGAATATATTCTAACAATTAATTGACAATGGATCATTTAATGGCATACATTCTGACAAAAATTAAACACGAAAACAATTTAAAATATTAATATTCATAAATAATGCCTAAGTACTAAATGGAGCGTGTCGCTTTTACAATTTTTTTGCAATTCCATGCAATCATGAATAACTAAATTGCTTATATCAGTTATTTCATATAGCTCGTTTGAATGCGTTACAATAAACGAAAAGTTATGTCGATCCAAAAATTCAACCTGAAGTGGTGTTAAAAGTAACAAACACCGTGACTCGTCAATTAATACAATTTCATTAATTATACCAAACTTAGGAAATATATTACCAATATCATAACAAACTACGTAGTCTCGTTTGTACTTATAACCTCGATACCACACTTGGTTAGCAGTCAAAATTTCTGTATCCCCGTGGCAAGATCTAAATTCATCAAAAAATCGTAATTTAAATCGTAATAATTAAATCGAATGAGTTGTAAAATCCATTTAACTTTGTTACAAAAGCATTATCCGTTCTCAGCCCATCATTGGAACCAGCAGATTTTAAAGCATGTAAGCTAAACTGTTGATGCCTATTAGCCAAGGAAAAACAAATATTTCGGAAATTTTTGAGTTGTCCAGCTAATTGAGGGAAATAATTGTGCTTTCCCTCATATCGCATTGCCCACAAAGACACCAAAGGGCCACTTTTTCTAATTACGTAGGAATAATGACACATAAAGTGGTGCTTAGGAATAATTCTTTTATCAGGGAACAGATTACGAAATAATTTGTGATGACTAACTATTTTCCTATCCATAACTTGCAGACTCGCGTCAGAAAAGGTTCTGCAGAATGCGTAGCTCATGATTTCTAACAGTTGTAATAATAACTCCCAGTATTTTTTGTGCTCCACGCTAGTTATTAAGTCTCCAATTATAACTGGAAGAAATCTTATTAGGCACCAACATTGGGCTGCTTTTTGCCCTATCTTATTTCCTACACCGTCTAATTTTATTGGGCTCGGACGATTTTTAGACTCAAGGTACCCAAAATTATGAGCCAAAATTCTATCATTAACCTCCTTCAAACTAAAACAATCTAAACTAATAAGTTGTAGAAGCACTAATTTTAATTCATAAGGAACTATGCCTTCTAGCAATTCGTGCATGATATCCACTGACGGGCAATCTAAAAAATCGAAAAAATCTAGATTATTAAGGGCGCATTCCGATTGAACTCCGAATGATTTTTCGCGTAAGTGTTGAAGATAATTTGTTTTGTCCCTAATTATCATATCGTCATGGCAAAATATTTCTTGTGCTTCAGATTTAGATGTGCAGCATATTCTACAATAATAAGTAGAGTTAAAAGACTCAGAAAAACCTAATAAACTATTTCTCCCTAAATTATCAAACAACAAAGAACTCAGTGTCCCAAAAATTGTGCCAAATCCATTCACGCGTACTCCTTCCCTTTCAAGAAGTAAAAGATCTGGAATAATTAATTTCAAAATAGAATTAATTCCATACTTTTATGCATACTCCGTATAAAATAAAGCTAGCAGATGTATCGAATTCAACTGGGAGTTGATAAAATCTGGGAGATTTTTTAGTGTAAAATAAAATGCACCTAGCTTATGCACCCCACGTTTAGAGCCTAATGGGTTAACAGTTTCAAAATCGTCATAGAACAACTGAATTTGTAAGGAGTTTGGATGTTTAGAATATAGCGGATTATTTCTAAAAGATATCGTATCTAAAAAAGATTCTATACGAGTGGGATTACAATCTACAGGTTTGCAAAAATATTTTAGATAAGTTGGGGATGAAACAATCTTCTCCAACGTTTTAATAATGGGAACATACATAAATGTATCTGACACAATAACTTCCTTACGCTTGTTTTCTCTTATCCTCAACTCTGTCCTACAACCTAGAGATAGTTCTTTTGGTACAATCATTTTGTCCTTTTTTTCGAATATTTTTTGCCGTTTACGAATATTATCTACGTTGCTAAAAGCGTCTACTAAAGACATTACCTGTGAACTAAACTCTTCGTAATTTTCTTTGCAAAAAGGTTTTCCTATTTGTAAAATTAATTTAGAAAATTGTGTGAATGAATTCTCTAGTTCCCTAACTACAAAATCAACAGTTGAATCTGTTGCACCAGTCGCCAACAATGAGGAACAGAACGACGATAAAATATCTTTCCTGATATTAATTCCTAAATTTACAGAAATATTTTTTTCTAAATTTACTGATATATCTTCGTCAAAAATATTACTTTCATTTAAGCTGAGGCGACGCATGGGAATTCTAACTCTGAGAAACTTGAATATTTTGAAAATTGTATTCAGGAGAAATTGGAGAAATTTCATGAGATTTAAGGTGTCTCAAATATCCGCTCCAAGTACTAATCGGAGTGATACAATTTTGACTTGGGCACGTTGTATATTTAAAATTTAGGTGACCATAATTGTGAAAATATTTTACATGATTTATGATTTCTTCTACCCTGCAATATATCTTATTACTCTCTACACACGTACATTTTATCACGTAATACCTAGTCCAATTTTGGGTATTGAATATACTTAGGAGGGGAGCTTGCGAGGTTGATAATAACAGATCGGCTCCAAATTTTTACCAATGATAGTTTGACATGAGTGTATCAAAACCCTTGAACGTTTTGACTCCATAACCATAAACAGCTGAGAAATTAATTTCGAAAGTTTCGAATTTTTTCCTTAGATGTGCACTTCTATCTGAGGTGTTTGGTGTTCTATGCCATATATTTGACGTATATGAAACATCTCTAGAACGGGTTAATATTTTTGAAATCTGTTTTTGGACATCGACATCTAATTTTTCGGGGGTGGGCAAGTTCGATCGTGGGGTCAATCGGACCACACCCCTTAGCGCCAGTGGGTGTGGTCAAATACATTTTTGAAATTAAGTTTCTTCTTCTCACATGGACTGTACCCCATGGTGGCCTGAATCATAAGCAGCATTACGTGACCTATCTTCCACACCCCCCCAACTCAGGGGGTGTGGTTATACTGAAAACAATAAAATCAAAAAAGGTTATAAGCTGGCCAATAGTTTTCAATTCTGCTTTCACCGTATGGTAGCATAAATTAATACCGAGGAGTGACGGCCACACCCCCTCGATGTCAGGGGGTGTGGTCGGGGGCAAAATGAGACTTTTACTGAAATTCAATCCGTAGATGAAATGAGTAAAAATTTGTATTCCCGCGTCGTCGGAAGTGTGTTTTGGTCAAAGTAAGACAATGATAAAATCGATTCCAATGGTGAAATGTAAAACAATTAGTTGCAACATATCTCTAGAACAGAGCAATATTTTTGAAAGCTGTTTTCGGACGTCGACATCTAATTTTGGTGTAACGAACGAGTTCCAAGATGTAATAAATCCCCGCCTCCACCACCCTCAGAGAGAGTTGGTGTGGTTAAATGTTTGGTTTTTACTTCTTACGTATGTTGTATCCCATTGTGGCGTATGCTTATAAAAAAAATTTCAGAGCTATACAGATGAGGGCGTCCTACTGGAACCGATTTTGGCCTTGAATATCCCAGAAACGGTTGGTCGTAACGGGTAAAAATTTTGAGCAGACGAGCATGTTGTCCTAGTCAAGCGTTGTGCAAAAAATTAACTCTCTACTTTCAAAAATGCTTCTCCCACAGCCCACAGGGTTGCGACAATTTTTTCAACTCGTTCCAGAAAATATCAGATGCAAGGTACACAATATGTCTTGTGTCTGAACGTTTCTCAAACAGTACGTTGTATTTTGTATCTTGACAATTTATATCAACAATATATTATTCAAAATTCAAGTTAGGATACAAGCTACTTTTTTACTCAAGATAGTCAAGATATAACTGGTAAACTTGTATAATTGGTTTTAGCCTTGGAGTAATGAGAACTTACTCGTAAGAAACCTCAATAATTTGAATTACTCAATAACCTCAATAATTTCCAGACTTTCGAAAATTTTATGATTATTAAATTGCTTAATATGCTTTTCAAATAGACCGTTACAACGAGGGTAACCAAGGGGCGAAAGTCCGTCAAACTGAACACAATATTGTGTTTGCCCGGTTAAAAATGTGTTTAAATTTACATGTCTGACGTGGTTTCAAAAATTCTGACATATTAATCAAACTTAACCGTTGAATTATAAAGGGGTTTAATTTCCATCCAAAGAAGATATATTTGTGCAATTTGACCTTTAAATGACATTTCATGACGTTTGACCTTTAAGGGTGCGACATACAGAGCCCATCTTCGAATTTGTCTTGTCCCTTGACGTTCCGAGTTAACGTTCAAAATTTCAAGCCTCTAGGTCTTTCCGTTCAAGGGTTATCGGAGCTACGGACAAAAAGACGGACAGAGACATAACGATCTTACTTATAAAGGACTTTCATCACTTAATAAATGAATTAGTATACAAATTGACTGTGTTTTAGGTACTGCTAATTTGTTTATGAGACGGGGATAAGTTATGGCGCGCGGATTAATAGCCATTGTTATTCTGCCTCATGTACTGCATTTCATCTTAATCAACAGACCAGTCCCATAAACGTACATAACACCTACATACGTAAAATTATGTAATTTTCTTGACGTCTACTGTAATTATTTATTATAACAATACTTATATATACGAGCTTATTATTGATGCATGGTCTTCGGCGGGATAAGTAAGTTCGTGGCTGTGTATTTCACCCTTCTCGTGACAATTGTCAATATCAGATATTCGGGCTAAATAAATTATTGTCAATAAAATTGAAGCATGGATTCGAAAATTTTTAAATAAAAACCTAACATGTCCAATCTCGGAACGTCTCCAGTGCCATCGACCAGCTATGGTAACTTCATTTATTGGGTTTTTGATAACGTTTTGATTATTTGGAAATCAGTTGCATAATGTTATAAATATGTAGGTACGGCTGAAACTGAAGTTGTACCAAATCCATTCGGGATTATTATTGAGTTTGAAAAACTAATTGAGGAAAATTATAGAGGGTGTAGTAAGGTATACGTTTTTCAATTTAGGGCTGCAAAGTTAAGATAAACATATGTTGATTTGTGATATTTCAATTGCTTCTGCAGGTTGAAACACCTACTGAACTGGAAGTTCTTTTCGCACGTAAACTTTACGAATCGTTTCAACTTAATCTTCAAGAATTTGTGGTTGATGAAGACGAGGAGCTGGTGCCTAACGGTTCGAATTCTTAAAAATATATTCAAGTCTTTAGAGTAACGTGATTACCGAATTGTAAAATTAAATGCAAAATTTTTGTCTAGTATAGATGTCATTGATTGTGGCCCCCTGCTTGATTCGACTGTTTCGGAGTATGATACCGATGAAGCTGAGCAGTTACCAAAATCGCGCAAGGATGATTTGGATTTCCATTTACCGGTAAAAAAAAGAAAAGAAAAGGTGATAGTAACCCAAGAACGCAAAAAGAAAATCCTCGCTCTGTGGGACGCACATAAAGGATGGGACTGGAAGACATTGAAGACACATGGTGCTAAGGAAATTACAAACGAACAAACCTTGCACAGATGGCGAGCTCAAGTCCGGAGAGGTGAATCATCGTTTGATAAATACAAAGGAATAACCAAATATGTATTTCATGAGTTAGAGAAAGCTAGGAAAATTCACAAAATTATTAGGGTATCTCACTTAAAATATTGGGGTATGAAAAAATATTTAGAGTTAGACGATAACTCTTTTAAATTTAAAGCATCAAAAAGTTGGTGTGGTAAGTTTAAACTAGATTACAGGATCTCGAGCCGAAAAATCATTCAATTAATTAGTAAAAGGGAAGTAAAATCACAAGACCAGATTTTAGAATCTGCAAAAAAATTCCAAACGGATATAAGAAGAATTTCTTCTCAATTTGACAGTAACCATGTTTTTAATACCGATCAATGCGGTTTTGCTTATGAAATTACCTCAGCACGAACGTACACATTCAAGGGCCAAAAATCTGTTTACGGTTATGCACAGCCCCCGAATAATCTGTCAACTCATTCTTATACCGTCCAGTATTTAATTAATTTAGCTGGGCAAATAGGGAACGTTTTCGTATGCCTCCAGGAGCCCGGTGGGAAATTTGGTCCACTTGTTAAGCAAGATCTTGAGTCATATCTCCCAAGTAATGTTACCTTAACGTGTAGTACTTCAGGTAAATTGTCAACTTCATTAACGGAATATTTTTTGGAAAAACAAGTTGTTCCCCACGTGACCAAAGACTTCTTGTATATAGTAGATAGTTGGCCAGGACAAACAAATATAGACACATACAGCAAATTTTTTGGTCAAGCTAATGACATGCCTGAAATAACATTAAAAGTAATTCCCGAGAAGTGTACACCCCTAGCTCAGCCATTAGACACGACTTTTCACAGGCAATTGAAAGGTTTGGCTCGAGAAATTTTGGCTCAACTGGAAATTTGTGTTAACGTGGAAGGAGTACACCGTGATGACAATTGGAACCCACGAAAAGGTGTTATTAAGTTAAATTCATTATTGCATTTTTTTCTTTCGGCCCCTATTTTTACTCCCATGATTAAATATTCATGGTTCTCAAGTGGCTTGTCTGACGAAAAAGTAGAATTCCTAAATGTAAAGCAGGTTTGTTTTACATTCGATGATGATGAGGGTAAACTATGGTTGACTGTACTAACCAGCGATTTATAAAGTGTTCACACTGTCGAAAACGAGTATGCATATTTGATTTGTGGATTACGAATCATTATTACTTTTGTGAGGCTTCCCCCTTTAAATCGTAAGGGCTTGGTGTGGAAATTTATTCGACTGATTAGAATTACTCAACATAATTGTTATTTCATGATTTATATATTCTAACAAATATATTTAAAATGATCTACTTGAAATCTAAGGTAGATTTATGTAATTTATCTTTATTTAATTTTATTTTTTAAGGATGATTAGAACAGTTCTTGTTTGATTAATTAAATTTAAAATATTTCGTGGAAATTGAAATAAAATGTATCTCTTGGACGCAGCACAAACTAATAAAACACGTACATTCTTAAAAAAATTACAAAAATATGACACATCGTAACTCTAAAATGAGAATCACTTGACCCAGAGTAAAGAATCAAAAACAATGGAAGCATATACATATAGTACATACATATGTACATACATACATACATATGTACATATGTACATATGTACATACATACATACATATGTACATATGTACATATGTACATACATACATAGGCACATATAAATGTATGTATATGCATATGTATGCACATATGTATGTACATATGTATGTATGTATGTATGCACATATGTATGTATGTATATACATGTATGCATGAATGCACAAAGAATTCTAAATTATGGTATTAGCATACATTTCATTATAATAAAATTTGGCATAATTTAAACTTGCTAAGCGCCATTAATTTGACTTCCACGTGACATGACCTAATTTTCACTCATATTCTGGTTTAACCAAGATGTTTCAAAAATGCAAGATGTAACATATTTTTTATTAAATAGTCTGCTGCCAGACACAAGGTGTATTTGTATTTCTGTTTGGTTGGAATTGCTTTCCCCACTTATTTCAAGTACTTGCTTGAAATACCTTGAGAGAAATGTAATTAAATAAGATTAAGAATTAACATTAAGATTTCTTGTCCCACAGTTTGGAAATGAACTACTATTAACTCTTGCCCCCAAGTAATTTTTTTGCCCGCTAAATGTCAAGCCAAACCACTTAATAATAAGACAGGTCACATAATTAAAATCAAGTATAACTACATATTAGCAATAATATTAACATTAATATAAATATTAATCAATGATCAATTCTTTGTAGGACTTTTGTGACCCCTGGTTCCCTTCTTTCTCCGGGTATCTACTTAATGAATTGAAGATAGTAATGGTAATTTTCATTAGTTGCCGTACACAAGGACGGCATTATTACTCGGTAAAAACATGGCACATACTAAGCTGCATGCATTTATTGAAGCAGTTAAATTATCTAGAATTGACTGTTGAATTTATATCTAAAACCCTTATAGAAACAAATAATTCCATGAAACCCAATTAAATCCCAGGCTGGGTCAGGCAGACGAACTGTTGCAGCGTATACTAATTGTTTTACATTTCACCACTAGAATCGATTTTATCATTGTCTTACTTTGACCAAAACACACTTCCGACGACGCGAGAATACAAATTTTTACTCATTTCATCTACGGATTGAATTTCAGTAAAAGTCTCATTTTGCCCCCGACCACACCCCCTGACATCGAGGGGGTGTGGCCGTCACTCCTCAGTATTAATTTATGCTACCATACGGTGAAAGCAGAATTGAAAACTATTGACCAGCTTATAACCTTTTTTTGATTTTATTGTTTTCAGTATAACCACACCCCCTGAGTTGAGGGGGTGTGGAAGATAGGTCACGTAATGCTGCTTATGATTCAGGCCACCATGGGGTACAGTCCATGTGAGAAGAAGAAACTTAATTTCAAAAATGTATTTGACCACACCCACTGGCGCTAAGGGGTGTGGTCCGATTGACCCCACGATCGAACTTGCCCACCCCCGAAAAATTAGATGTCGATGTCCAAAAACAGATTTCAAAAATATTAACCCGTTCTAGAGATGTTTCATATACGTCAAATATATGGCATAGAACACCAAACACCTCAGATAGAAGTGCACATCTAAGGAAAAAATTCGAAACTTTCGAAATTAATTTCTCAGCTGTTTATGGTTATGGAGTCAAAACGTTCAAGGGTTTTGATACACTCATGTCAAACTATCATTGGTAAAAATTTGGAGCCGATCTGTTATTATCAACCTCGCAAGCTCCCCTCCTTAGACAATTGTTGAAAGACTTGTTTCACTTTTCTTGAGAGTGGCGTGGTAACTTCCACTGGAAAAATGTGCACTTGTAGAAACTTCCAGAATCCTGTAAGATTCCTGTCGTATTCCGTCCCGATCACGTAATGCGATTTGAATAAAGAATCAAGTGCTTCCGTTGAAGACTTTGCGTCCAGTGGAAGGATAGTTCTGTCACATATGATGAAGAAAGATGAAAGAGTTAAGCGGTCGTCTCCAAGTGCGATTAAAGTTGGTTGAGATAATTCCGGATTCCACGTATATATGATCGACTGAAGTGGAGTACCGGTCTATAAAAAACAATAAAAAACTTAAATACCAACTGCGAGAACAAGTGGATTATTAGATAAAGTACTCTTAAATACGAATTTTTAATGTTATGAAATAATCACAGTTTAGAAAAATATAATCAGTATCATGCATTGCTTTTCAAATACCTTAAAATACAGAAGAAGCCTGTTTTTCGCATCGTCAATTTTGCAGCGGCCCCCTTTTCCCTTACCTTGGGCAGCTGCTGGGATTAGGTGTAAAAGAACAAACAACGCCACAACTGTGTTATCCCATTTGCCTGAAAGAAAAATTACTTATAAATATTTTAAACTTATTTATATGCGATACATTTTACTCGTCATTTTTTATACCAGCGTCGTCGTCCAAAAATGTCAATAATGAAGGAGAGTTGCTGATGCTCTTGCAATTTTCCAGTAAACGATGTGCAAACTCCGGCCAGATGTTTAAAAATCTTTTTTCATTTTCGGAAAACATCAGCGAAAATTCCAAATTAATCTATTAAAAAAATCCAGTATTTTTAAATGAGACTCAAAAATTAATAGTTTCGCCTACCAAATATCCGCACTCCCTGAATTTTGAATAATCTTGTAGAATTGTTCGGCCTGCAGATCCTCGGATTTGGTTTCGATGCATCAAGGTTTCCTTCATAAGCCGAACAAGTTCACCGTCGTCTGTGCTGGAATTCAGCTTCAAAAGTACTTCGGTGTTAGGGGCGACAGGGTCGCCAAATTTTTGAAGTTTTGGCTTCGGACCACTAGTATCGATTGGCGGCTGTTGGTGCTGCGGTTTTCCGTTAATCTTCTTTAGATTTCTGTGGATCCATCTCAATCTCATCTGAATTAGTCCTGACCGGCCTACCTCATCGTACAAAATATCCTGAAAAAATGTGTAAATTTTATGAATGAAGTTTGTCAAATTAGTATAATTTTTCCCTTACAATTCCGTCATTTCCAAAATATTTCCACCATGGGAGGATTTCTATGATTGCCTTAGCTAGCATTTTTGATCCCTGGTAACTGGAGAATCCCTACAAATATATACCAAATGTTGTTAATTAATAAATTCATTAACAAATTATTACTTTCGAGTATTCTATGATATAACATTGCTCACTCCTTTAGCTCAACCAATTTTGCGACGAATTCATTGATAAGTGTTGTTGCCGCTGCATTATCTACGACAGATTTTGTGTTGCAATTGGCGACAAGGTCACACAATTCATCGTTGCGGCTAATATGCGTCTCCAATATCTATTAAGCGCAAATTAGTGGTATATTGTAAATATCTATATATCTAACACATCATCATGTATATTTGACAAAATTAACATCCGGTTTTTACCTGTTTGAAAAAATCTACGTCACTAGCTGAATTCGACAGTGGAGATGCAGGTGAGGGCAGGGCAGATGCGCTCAATGGACTCGGAACTGAAGTAATATTTATAAATTTCGAATCAACATTCCCGGATATAGTTTTCATCGGATGCAGTCTATAATTTCTAGCTTACCATAAAATAATTGGGAATTTCCTTCACTTTCATGCGAGTTAGGTAAATATGTAAATACACGGTATGTTAAATGTATCCGATGTAATTCTTTATATTCGCCTGGCCTCAAAAGACAATAAACATCTATACTACTATTATCTTACAATGCGATGGTGTGAAGTGTAACCCTCGGATTTCGCTCAAGTTTTAGAATTGTGTAATCCATGTCAATGCAACCAACGTTTCTTGAGGCAGTTTGTGCGATGGTTGGAATTTGTCAGAATATTTTAGCTCAAGGTTAAAAAATTTTTCCCTTCGAATGGAATGGAATTTGCTTCCTAAAAATCGCCCATTTTACAATTTTGATCCAAAATATTTTGACTAATTCCCACCATCAAAGTGCCTCAAGAAACGTTGGTTATAAAGAGTGATTTGGACCACACAATTTTAAAATTTTAGACAAATCCGAGGGTTACACTTCAGACCATCGCATTGTTAGTTTTATAAGCTAAAACCTTTTCCACCATGATTTGCAAACGTAATTCTAAAAACTTTTGTATTAAATTTTAAATGATGAATTCCCTAAGTCGGACATCGCTACAGTCCATGAAAAATGGTTGAGTTTATACGTCATACTTTAGAACGACTATGTATTTACATATATATGCACTCTTCGGTATAGTTATCTATTATTGTGTCCTACATATTTATCGAGTTAAACAGATCAATTAAATATTTTACTCAAAATTTAATACATAAACCACTGTTTGACAAAACAGCGAAGCCCTCCCCTAATTACAAATTTTGTTTAGCCAATTTCCTTTAACTAGGTTTGCTCAGGGTTAAAACAAAAAAATAATATTTATATGTACTTGCCTCTGAAATTTCTGCAAATGAGATGGTCGTAAATCGGTTTCATAAACTCCTATCTAAATTCTTGGCAACATCAAATTTAAATAACGCAGAAAATTAGTTTTCTTAAACTTCACCTAAAATTATATTGGGGAAACAAAGTTTCGAAAAATAAGCTCTCAAAATTTGGATGCATGAATTTCTTACTGCATTTGAGTCATTCCTTATCAATCAAGTGCTCCCTAAATTTTTCGACACATGGGTCTCCTATCTCAAGCAAGCAAGCCCATTTGGGCTTGCCGAGTTGTCCAGTATTTTTTTGGGAAGCATTACCCGTTTCCATACCAACTGCCGTATGAATTTGTTTATGACAAGGGGATCCTGCACGTGAGATGTGTACCAATGAAATACTCAGTTTTAAACTTCATCCCCCCGTTGATCAGTTTCGTTGGTGTGGCAATGTGCGCAGCAGGAATTTACATTCTTCACATCCAAAGTGACAATATCTTGGAGAACGTGGGTTTCTGGATTTGGGTTTCTCTAATTATTGTCCACGCATTGTCAATTTATGGATACTTGCTCCTTATACTGGACCCCAATCAGATTTGTTTTAAATTATGGGAGTATCTCGTTTTCTGTGAGCGGCATGCTCGACATGGTAAGGATAATGGGTGTCGTATATTATTTAAGATCAGTGCTGGGAAAAGGGGCTGCATTTCCGCTATTTTTTGCCTCTTCGCTTCGCTTTTTTTTCATACGTTACTTTTCCCCTTTTTGCTTGCTTACTTAATTGTTCCAAAATTCACAGGAAACCTTCCCCTGTATTCTAAAACGATCAAGAGTAAAACCAAAATACAAACTTGTTAGTTTTTAAAAATCAAATAGGGTTGTTTAACATAATCATACGTAACCGGGGCCATAGCTGAGTGATTGGAGTATCCATCTCGTTCCGCAGTGGTCCCTGGTTCGAAATTGAGTGATGGCTGGAGTGTTTGGTAAATAAACATCAGCGTACTGGATCGTTGTCACCTGGCGATAGTCAGTGCCTGAATATGGCAGAAGCTGACTCTTATGGGTAAAAGACTCCGGTAGGGTGCATGCTGAAAGCATGTATCAATCATCAGTGAGTGATACATGCTTTCTCCAACCTAGTGATTTGCATTTACGCTACTGATACGATAAGTAGTGTTACGGCCGGGGGTTATCAACGTCCGAAATTATCTTCTCGTGATAACTGGTTTCTGGTGATCTGACCTCGTGCCGTAGTAACTTATGCGTATACTTGACTTGGACTTAAAACTTGGTTTTATTTGACTTAAACTGGACTTATTGGTCTTAAACTGGACTTAAACTGGACTTATTAGTCTTAAACTGGACTTAAACTGGACTTGAATTTAACTTGACTTGAACCTGACTTGACTTGAACTTAAAAATGCCTTAAATTGTGCCAAAATTGCTTAAATCCTTAATTTAATTTTGCCTTAAGGGCAAAAACTCTTTACCTTTACTTGGATAATGTATTCGAATGTAAATAACTAAAAAACTTTTAATTAAATTGCTTTATTTAATTAATTTAGCATTTTTTCGAATATTTTACAAAGAAGAGCAAAATGGCTACTTGCCACTTACTTGACTACTACTTACACACTTAACTTACTCATTCACACTTCCTTCTCTTCTCTCTCACGAACAAAGACTCACGCTACCCCACCCTCCCTCCAATACATCACAATGACAACTTTTGATCTCATATTATAGGACTATGACTAACAATTAAACGTTCTAGTAATTTTTACAGTAAACTAGAATGGAAATAGATTATCTGGGAATTTATTTTGCCCCGATTATACGATTCCAATCAGAGAAACTAATTAATTAAGCATTTGCCTTTATCCGCTATTGCGGGAATTTTAAGGTTATGGGGGAATCAGAGACATGGTTCCATCAATTGTTATATACTGTTTTTCCGTATACTAATCACTATTATTATTACTGCGCGCCGCAACAAGTAGTATTATGCAGTTGTAACTGTCCAAATGGAACCTATCCCAAGTTGGGATTCCCAACCTACCTAGTTAAAATGTGCATGTCCTACCTATCCTCCCTGTATGAGCTAATATGCGTACGATTATACCCACTTTTTGTAACATACTCATACCTTAGGAATAAGAATATCACTCTATAAGAATATCAGAATATCACCCTTGAACGTTAATCTACAGATACATCAATAACTCTTAGATGTTTGATTACTTTCTAACGTTTTTCTTTTCTTATTCAACTTATTTACAGAACTCCAAATACAATGTGGCCGAGAGGCTTGCAAACTCCTCAAAAGTACGAGTTTGTCCATCGTGTCCAGTGTAACTTGTCTCACCGCGGTGTCTGGATATATTTGTATTCCTATCTTTATGCTTTTTTTCATGCTGACAACCGAAGTGGATCCAACTTTCTACGTTCTTGAACACATATTTTTTAAACTAATAGGGCTCACAAATCGATATTTTGTCAGATTTTTATTATTCTTAATTTGCTTCACATTTAATATTCTTGCTACCTACCACAAAGCTCAAATGGTCCTCTTCGGGTTTTCCGCCCTACTTTATGTGCTGCAGTGCGGATACAAGTTACTCAAAATTGCAACCCTATTAGCCGCACGCCATCCCGTGATAAACGAAATATACGTGTTGATCATGTGGTTCAAGTAGTGTAAGATCGGCTTGAATATAATTGAACCAATCGTGAAAAATACTACATTGGTCGGTGTGCTTGCTTGCAACATATTGTTAACTACTCTAAGTTATTTATTAATTAGATTGAACCACCTGTTGTCGCAGGTTTTAATTTTATTAGTGTGGATTGTATTTTGTTTTTTGATTTTTGTGGTGAAGATTGGTTGGGGAGTGATTTCCATGTTGCACAGGGATTCCAAATTTTGTATCGATCAGTTTATGAGGTTTGGCGTGATCGAAAAAGTGGGGACAATTCGAGAGAGGAAGTTGTACCTCAGAACGGTACGAGCTATGAGACCAATGGCCATTCCGGTGGGGTTCGAAGACTACACGTTCTACACGGGTTGGATACGTCGCAGGACTCTTGGCACTGAATCGCCGACATTTCACACACTATTTGACAACTTTGCGAATGGCTCTTCTTCCTGGACAATCCACACTTTTTCTCGTAATTTCCCCATCAACATTTGGACACCTGCGTGACAATTCTGGAGATGCTCCTACCGTATGATCTGGTCCACTAACGGATGAGAGTTTGGTAAGAGAACTGGCATTCGGAAGCAGGGCGTGTCATCTCGGCGAAGAAGTTTGGTTTTCACTCTATACAAACCATGGTCATCTTCTTCTACCCTTAATCCAGCGATGACACCACTCTCAATCTCAAACTTTTCACGCTGAACTAACTTGAACAATTTCAACTCGGCCTGGTTGATTTCTTCAGCACTCAAATGCCCGGTCTTCTTATCCTTCTTGTTTCTGATATTGTTTATGAATCTCATCACTAATACAAAGAGTCTGAGATTCTCCCCATAACTAGCGTAGCGTCAACAGTACCACGAGTTCTCTCCATTTCCACTAATGAGACTAGTGACGATGAAAGATTTCTTCTTTTCCGCATTGACAGCATCTTCGTCAACATCGTCTTCTTCTCGTGGCCAAAATTCCTTCGGCTGCAGCAACCACGTGGGTCCCTCCCACCATTTGCTCTCAATGTACTCATTTACATTGCAGCCACGGGATGGTAAATCTGCGGGGTTATCTTTCCCCGGAATATGTCGCCACTCTCTCTTCTCGCTCAATTTATTGATTTCAGCCGACCGGTTCCCCACAAAGGTACCCCATTGATTAGGTCGGAGAATCCACGATAAGGCGGTCATCGAATCAGTCCATCGGAACACAGGAATATCATCAAGTGATAAGGCTTGGATCACTTTCACGGTGAGTCTTGTACCTATTGTACATCCAAGTAGTTCCAATCAAGGAATTGTGATCGTCTTCAGCGGAGCCACTCGAGCCTTGGCCTGTAGAATCTGTAACTTCACTTCTCCTTCCTGACCATTGCGTAGGAAGATAACTGCAGCGTAGGCCGTCTTGCTCGCGTCCACAAAAGTATGCAATTGCCATGTTGCACGATCACTTTGATTCCGAGGAATCCAAATTGATTTCAGTAAATCCAGGTCACGACACCAACTGGTAAATTTCTGCTTCTGTTCATATTTTAACTTGTCCTCCCATCCACTTTTATCTGCCCACGACTCTTGCAATAATAACTTGGGCTTCAGCAGGACTGGAGAGTAAAATCCCAATGGGTCGTATATCTTGTGTAAAGATGACAAGACGCTTCTTTTCGTAACTTTCTCCGGTAACTCAAAACTGAAGTCTAATCCTAACGAATCCATTCTTCTATCCCACTTGAGGCCCAATACGGATGCGATGAATTCCCCGTCGTCGTGACTGGATTTCGGATCTTCTACTTGAGACCACTCCCACAAACGCAACTCCATTTTCGCCTCCTCCATTATTCTGGTAGCTTGGGATCTGAATAATTCGACTTCCTTCATGGTGGCTACCGAAGTCACACAGTTGTCCACATACATGGACTTCAACAACTTTCTTGCTACTTCTTTATCTTCATTTTTCACATTAGCAAGATGATTCTCAATTACAGCGGCGAGTAGAAAAGGACTGCAATTAACGCCGAAGACGACTCGTGCGTGGCGAAATTCTACCTGATTTCGACCCTCATCATTCCACCATAGGAAACGCAGAAAGTTCCGATCTTCCGGCTTGACACTTATCTGAAGAAACGCCTTCCTAATGTCCGCGACTACTCCAATTCCTTCTTCTCTAAATCTCATCAAAATAGACGGAATCAATTCCATTAGATTTGGACCTTTCTCCAAGCAATCATTCAGCGATGGAGAATTCTTGCTCTTGCTCGATGCATCAAAGACTGGGCGAACGGGTGTGGTCTTGCTCTCTTCTTTGATGACTGCCCGATGTGGTAAATAATGAGCAGGTAGTTCCAACTCAACTTGTGGAACAACTTCAATTATTCCTTCCTGCTCCCAACTTTTAATGATGTCATCATAAATCTTGAAATTTCCAGATGACACAAGTCTGGTACTCATTGTTTCTAATCTCTTCTGAGCGATGGATCGGTTATTCGGAATCTGATCTTGTCCGCTGGTCCATGGAAGCGACACACTGTACCTCCCATCCTCAGATCTCGTAACAGTTTTCAAGAAATGTTGCTTGGCCTCCGAATCCCTTTCTTCCTTTGACAGGCTCTCCACCGGGTCTTGAATTCTAAGCGATTCCAAATTCCATAATTCCGATGGATTCCAGTCACTGGCCAACAACGATGTCACGAGCATAGCACTATTCTCTGTTTGGCGAGGAATGCACCCTGACAAGGTCCACCCAAACAAAGTTTCAAACGCAGTTAAACCACATGCTTACTGAACTACTTTTCCTGTAATGACACTGCCGTAGTAGTCACTACCAATTAAAATTTCAATGTCCGGACACTCTGAAGTAAAATCTGAGAGGAAGATTGACTTGTCCGCTAGCTCCTTAATCCATGGTCCCCTTGGCACTCGAGACAATTCCCCACAGATTTCCGGTTCCTCTAAAACTTCCATGGTGCGCTTGACGGATCCGTCTAAACTTTCTAGGCGTAATTTGTATTTATATTGGATCCTCCCATTCGTAACCGCACCTCCGAACAAAGATTTTCGCACCCACTCCTGACCAACTGAGGGGTACTTGAGTTGGCTTGCCGTCGAGCTTCGGACAGATCGCTGAGCACCAGTGTCAAACACTAGTCGAACCACTCGAGACACTTTTCCATTCTCACTTCGTAATCTGACCAGAAGAGTTTGGAGAAAAACTTCACCAGAACACATGTGACTGGCCATCGCCACACTTGGATCAGTTCTCTGGACCACAACTTCAGTCTCTGGTTTCTTATGTGATGGCAAGGACGGACACAATATAACTGGATGCTTGTTTTCACAGATTGGACACTTCACAAAACTCTTACAACTTTTAGTCATGTCACCACCTCGTAGACAAACAAAACAACACTTCTTCATCTTGATCCGATCCTTCTTCTCTTGCAAAGACATATTCTTTGCCTTAAAGCAATCTTGGCTGGCGTGAGATTTTCCGCAGAAGAGGCACGACTGACCCTGTCCACTAAATAGACCAGCTGCTGTAGGGATGTTGTCGTCTTCGTAATTCTTCACTTTTTCACTCTTCTTCTTCTTCTCATTGCCCTCTCTAGCCAAGGTTCTCTGTTGCTCGTTCTCAACCTCCTGCCGTAGGAAATTCAGGAGAAAATCGAGCTCTGTTTTCGGCGGTTGCAGAAGCGATCCATCTTTACCAAAATCCGGACTTCGCTGCCAGGCAATAAGTGTTTCTTCGGGAAGACTCGACTCAACCATCGGGAAGATAAATGTTGCAGTCTGATCCGCTGTCACTCCCAAAGACTCTAAAGCACGCAAATTGCTCTCCAACTTGTCAAAGATTTTGAATAACTGATTCTTCTCAGGATTCTTCATACTTGCAGCAACCATCTTCTGTAATTCCCTCACATAGACTTGTTTTAATAACTTGTCTTTACCAAATCTCTCTTTGAGGGCCGCCACCACCTTCGGGTAATTTGCAGCAGTCTGCGGGTAGCTCTGCACAAGGTCACGAGCTCTTGACCCTTCTTGCGTGGCCTGAATTAAATACTGAAATTTATCTGTATCATGCAAGTCTTCATCTTCATGGATTTTGCTAAACTGTGACCACCAAGACAACCAATCCGTGAGCTCACCACCAAACGTCTTCAATTCAATCTTCGGTAGTTTGAATGTGCGCTTCTTGTTGATTTCTCTGGCCGTTCCATAAAATGAATCACTACTATGAGCATCTGCTTGAGCTCCCAAAAACTTCTCCGTCTTATGTATCATTGTGCGGACTTTATCCTTGTATTCTTGACATGCGTCAAATTCTTCTTGATAAACTAGCTCAGTTGCTTCTTCATCTAGCAATTTATCCAAAATCTCTTGATCTTTGTCCACCACGTCCTGAAGAACCTCGCGTAATTTCCTCATCTTAGTCGCGACGACATCTGAATCGGCTTCCTCTTTAGCGAGTTCTGCCTCCATCTCCGCCAAGGTGCGAGTAATGGAAGCGCGCAGCGGGCCTCTCGATCTCCTGAGCCGGTCCATGACAGTAACCTCAGGAACTCAAAATCCAAGAGAAAAACAAAATACAATTAGAAAAGGACTAATGCTGACTCCACTTGGACAGCTACAACCTGGGAATGCTATACTTAAGGCTATAGCAAACCGCAAATTCGTTTTCTCCAACTGATGATAATCCAGCTCCAATCTTGTTCACCTCGTTCCAGGGTCCCACACGGCTCCGGATAACGTCGAGGTCACCGGAAATGTGAGGACTATTCAATGCAACTACCCGTTGTAAAGTCACCTCCTAAATGTGATTGGAGTCGAGGGATGAAATCAAATTGACGAGAGAACTGGATAACTGGAAACTTTGACTTTAACTATTTATTTAATTGAACACTCAAAAAATTAACATGTTCACACATCCAATACTAAAAAGCAAGTGCGTATTCAACCACGCAGAACACATACCAAACAATCTGCCTCCAATCATTCATATTCTCATGACTACCATAGTCTGCCTAAATTTACTAAATAATCTTATGATTTCTAACAGCCATTTCGGTGGGGTTCGAAGACTACACGTTCTTCTCTGCGAGGAAGACGAATGAGCTAATGTTTGCTATGCATATTGTCGGGAATACGATCTCGCTACTATTAATATAGAAAATATTTAGATATTGTTAAGATAAGATTAATAACTAAAATCGTCAAAATGAGCACATTTTTAATCAATCTACTTTGTCGGCTTATTCCACACCTTTGTTGAAAAGTTATACGTATCATTATGAAAGGGGACCTACTTCTAACGTTACTACGGTTTGTCGTTGTTTATGCACTAATAATTTTTGTTTTGAGCATGCGCTTAAATGTTGTCGTAAGTATAAGACGCTAAAAGTAAAAAGAGTAATATAGGTGCTAGGCTGGCTCGCTTGGCTAACTAGTTAGACACAATATGTACAATTGCAAATTAAATTTTAATAAGCATGTACAAACTTATTTGTGCCTTATTGCCTCTGTAAAATAAAGAAACATAAATGCTCATGATATAAGTAAAACTCTCGCGGGAGTCGTTTTTAATCTAAAACCACTGCATCATATTCATGCCAAAATTTATAATTCTATGTACAGTGAAACGATGTATGTATAATGGATTCTGCATACACGAAATATGTATATTTATTCATAAATCAAGCCATACATGACAATATGCGCAACTAGTAGTTTGTTTGCATATATTTATACAGTCTGTCAATCTAACTCTGACATTATTAAATATCCATCCATATCTTTGTCCAGTTTCGCCACTTCGTCCCCAACCTGATCAACATTCAGGCCTGGCACGTTTTCCAAGTATTTGTAGGCTTCACCATAGCTCAGCTTCCCATCCAAGTTAATATCCGCTAAGTGAAACACGTGGCTAACATTGTGCCCCAACTTATCAAAATCGTGTCCCGCGTGAAACCGATTAAGTCCACGTGCCGTCCCAAGCGATCTCTTTCCTCGCGTCGTACAAGCGTGCACCCACTCCCACGAGGTCCGTCCTGGCATTACAATCGCGCAATGGGGAGCCAATCGGTCGTATGGGATATTACAGTTTGGCCCCGCGGCGACCCTTTGACCCCGCCTTCCTACCGCGCCGATCGGGCAAAGTTCACCGGTACGACACACACCGGCACAATTGCAGCCGAAAATGTTACACCCTCCGGTCGAACAGTATGGACCGGCTGGCGTACAGTCGTCGCAGTAGGTGCATCCAGCAGTGGCGTAGCAACATATCGCGTTTACTGAAAAAATTGGATTACAATTTTAATTAATATTTTTTTGAAAATTTAACACGTATTTATTTATAAATGGGGAGATGATATCAAGTAAAAAATACAGATTTAGTCAAATTTTTAGAATTATGAAGTTCACCTCAATGCAATTAGCGTATTTTGACCCGTTTTGCAGGATGATTCGAATTAAGGGGTGAGTCATAAGTAGTGATCCACTTTTTCTTGCTTTCCGCACGCCAAGGAGAGTGGGATAATTCATTAAGTTGAAGTATCCTGGTATTAAGCAACCGATATGGCACACAAAACATGTCATCAGAGGTTGATCGAATCTTAGGCGGAAAATTGGGACTTAAATAAAAACAAAAAGTGAAAATACGAGTGGTGCAAAAGTAAAAAACGCATCAACTTTTGTAGGAAAATCATTTTCCACCAAAGCAGAGGAACATAAAATTAAAAATTCTTTGCTTTTCTCAGTTACACAGTAGCATTGGCTAAATAAATTCCCCACCTTCTGAAAAATATCCTAAGAACCGGCGTCTCAGGCTACACGAAAAGTGAAAACCTATATTTGTAGGAACGGTTTTACATCGACTCATCATGGCGACCAAACCACTAAACCTAGTCATCTCAAATCATGGCAGGGTTAACATTAGGCTATTGGGTCTTGAAAAGTGTAAATATCAAATTGCCAATAAATATGCAAGTAACAAAAAAATAACATTGTATACACGAATTCACAAAATTTGCAAAAAGATGTCGCGAGAATAACGGTTATTTTTGAAGAGTGCTGCGTGTACCTTAACCATTCTGCTGTCTTCTAACCTAGAGTAGGACGTGTCATGGATCATGGACAACAGCAAAATGTCCCTAAAGCTTAACAAAAACTAAAGTTTTTCAAAATTCTCGGGGTTTTTCAGGATCAAGTCTTATGGAGATTAACATTATAATAAGTTCCGATGGTGATGATATTCCACACGAAAGTAAATTTCAATAATTCTGAGCACATTTTAGTAGACCACTATTCTGTTAACTGCCTCAAGGAAAAAGTTTTAGAAATTCATGCGTTTACCATGCAAAATTCATAAAAGTATGACAAGAAAAGTGGGAAATGAAGGGTTGAAGGTAGCTTGGGCAAATTGTTATCTTTTGGGTTTAAGTTAATCGATGGTCAAAATCTAATTGATTTCTAAGTAAACAATGGGCTATAATATGGGTGATAATAGCTTGTGTGGTGAAAAGAGTTAAGTAAATGGCGACCGTTTTATACTGTGTCACTACTTATGACTCACCCCTTAATCAACCCAACTTTAATTTTTTGCTAGCTCTACATTATCAAAAAATCGCAAATTTTTTTAAAATTTGACCTAAAAACTTTTACCATAGCGATATTCCAACCAGCCAACAAAACTCCTGTTGTTTGGATCTTGTAATGACTTGAACCTCATAATTTCAAAATTTCAGCAGAATCTAAGCATTGTCCTGCTACCACAAGTAAAATGTATGTAAGAAAAAAATACACACCTTTTCCGTCGTATATCACACAAATAAAAATCAAGACGGCGATGTAGTGAAAATTATGCATGGTTTAAGATATCTTGCGTTATTGAGTCAAATATGTAATTACTTAATCGGAGCTGAAGTTATACAATTCTGTCCAGTTAGAGAAAATGCTAGTCTTTATAAAGGATTTTATTACGTCATTTTAAGGCAGAATGAGTCGTTTAAGCCGATAACAAATGCTACGAAGACGGATATTATATCCATTTCTAGGAAATATAAAACTTTTCTTTACCTCGAATTCAGATTAGACACACGATTACACGTTTGTGTGGCATGATGTTGTTCTGAATTAAACTTTAATTTAGTCTTCTTACATAAGTACGACGAAGTTCTAATTGAGTTGATTTATGTATCTCATGAAAACTCATGAAGAACCATGTTCAGTCTTGTAAAAGTCCAACCCAGCAAAACTGTGAGCCCTTAATGAACATTGAATATGTCCAGATCAGGATCAACTACATACTTGCCGGTCATAAATACGAATGCAGATATTTGCATATGTATGAATTATAGTACCTGATTTCAAAAATTCTTTGCAGAGTTTCACTATAGGCTTCAATAATTATATTTATGACTAGTTTATAAATGATAAAGTAATTTTATGCTATGTAAATAGTTACCAATTGATATGCACTAAAACAAGATTGCCCTTCTTGTACATACATACATACAAACACAATGTTGTGCACAAGTCTTTACATATTTGCATGCATATTAAGCATATGCAAAAATAAACAATATGCATTTAACGAATGAATGTTTTTAAGACTTTGGTCACCATATTTATACGTGGTAAAGTCATGTCGGATGTTTTACGAAGAAATGATGAATCCTTGCTGTGTATTTATTTAAGCGTGAAGAGGGCATGAGATCGTAAATATGTAATGAATGATAAGAAGGACCTGGAACCACTCGCAATAGATGAAAAGAGCATGATGTTATGAGCCACTGGCCAGGAAAAAGTGTGTCGTAATCTATCTGTTTATCTATGTATAGTACAAATCCGACTCAGGCAATGAGACTGGAAAAAATGGGACAGATATGACTTTTTTAAGTTAAAATAAAATTTTAACAAACTGTGTCGAAAAAAATTGAAATTTATGTAGTTGTAATTTTTTATTAGAATAATATAACGCTCATAGACGGTCTAATATTATTAGGGAGTTGTGGAGGGTTCGGTAGTAGTTGAGATTTCGGTCGTGGTGGAGGGTCCGGTCGTGGTGGAGGGTCCGGTCGTGGTAGAAATTTCGGTCGTCGTTGAGGGTCCGGTCGTGGTGGAAATTTCGGTCGTCGTTGAGGGTCCGGTCGTGGTTGAAATTTCGGTCGTCGTTGAGGGTCCGGTCGTGGTCGAAATTTCGGTGGAAGGTCCGGTGGTTGAAATTTCGGTCGTCGTTGAGGGTCCGGTCGTCGTTGAGGGTCCGGTCGTCGTTGAGGGTCCGGTCGTGGTGGAAATTTCGGTCGTAGTGGAGGGTCCGGTCGTGGTTGTAGTGAATACACCAGGAGTCGTCACGGGCGTTGTGGTTGTTGGAGGCTCGATTGTGGTAGGGGCTTCAGTGACTAAGAATTATACGATTTCAAAATTAATAATCCGTCAGAACACATGTCGCCAAGAGGTGGAACTACTGTAATACGTGGGTACACATAGATATGCAATTAACATAAACAATCGATCCTAAACTAATTCCATCCCAAAAACTTGGGACCCCTGTTGAGGCCACACCAAAGTCCAGATGCTTTATATGCTTATTTATCCAAATCAGGCTCTGTGCTTCTCTACGCGAAACGAGCTGTGGCGTGAACATTGAAAGAAGAATACAATTTTTGAGTACTTATCAGTCTTCGTCCCTCCTCAGTGACCTCGTTTGGGTTTAGGCGATCGGAAAATTACGTTCAATTTCTCGCCTTCAATTAATCGCGAAACTTCTCTAAATCCATCGCCCTGCAAAGTCACGGAGGAGCGATGATGGTTACCACGTACTCAAAAATTGTTTAATGTTCGCGTGTAATGGTCCGGATGAATGTAGTTGATAATAAAGACAATTACTTGTTCCTCTCAAAACACATTTCAAAGTCGCCGGGTTGAATATTGAGCTCGGTTGTGGACAGGTAAAGATATATTGATATAACCTCCCTCGAATCCGGACACACCTTATGTACTGCAATCAAGGAAGATTTTAAATAATCCCAAAAATTAAAACATTTCAAATAAGCTTAAGATTGTATTTATTTCCGATTGTACCATGATTGGGGAAGGGTGTGGGAACGTGCCTGGCACTTCACAGGGGAAATTGCCCCCTTGTCGGGGTATTCGATGATAAGACCAAGACTCGCTGGTTGGAATCCATACACCAATCGCAACACTTAGATACAGGATTAGCTGTTATCAAAATACTAATTCATTCAGAGGTTGGAAAAAATAGTTCATTCATTATTCATTTATTATAAATTTGAAAATACGTAATTACGTGATCGTTATGCATTACTAATTTTTAACTGATTGTACATATATAAATTTTCCCTGACTAGATGGCTTTCTTAAAACGCACAATATAATAATCATAACGGTAAAAATGAATAATAATGAGTAAAAGTATTCATGCGTCCATCCTGAAAATTCACCGGAAAATGAGAAAAGAAATCATTCAATATTCATTACTACAAAAAAATTGAAAAAATAATTCTGCAATTATTCATGAATTTTTGGAACTATGAATAGACACGTAATTAATATTGCATGTAATAAATTAAGGTGAACAGGTACTGTAAGCCACAAACTCGGTGAGCAACTGACCCAGGTCCAAGCGAAAAATGATGTTGGGTACCACGCCAAAAAATTAGCAAACACTTTTTCATAAAAGTAGAAAACATGAAAGAAATTGTTTTCGTCTAAAATATATCCATAAATTTGACCTCTGGGACCCTTAATAACAGGTCGCATAACAGGTGACCGCTTATCGAAAAATCTTACATAACAAAATTTCTATTAATCTTTTCTAAATTATGATAAGGTTCCAGTTACCAATTTCTTTACGTTGTCCCCAGGGTAAGGAAAACCCCGGGGTTTTGCTATTGAAAACCCATACCCCGGGGTTTTACCTGGGTTTTGCGGGTAGTCGGGTTACTCGGGGTAGTCGGGGTTTTGGGGGCAAACTGAGTCAGTGTCTCATGTATTAAGTTCAGAAATTAATGAAAAAAATCAGTTTTTCAGTAATTTCCCAACAAAACTGCTTATTAAGTATATTCTAATAAGCAATTAATTTGTTGAATTGCTAGTAACGCCCTGTCATCATATTTTGCAAAACTTGAAAACCCCGACTACCCCGACTACCCGTGGGTATTGCTCAAATTTGATACCCCAAAACCCACCAAAACCCGCAATACCCCAATACCCCAAAAATCCGGGGTAGCATACCCTGGTTGTACCAGACTTTGACGGTACGCATCTATTATCCCTTTGAAATCTCGTTAATTGGATCAACTAAAGCTTAAAATAATGTGAAGTAACATTTTCCGGATATATTTAGTCCTTACCAGCGTGGTATTCATGATTTCGTACGTGTTGGAAATTTTATTTATATATTTCCAAAAAATATTACAGACCACAACTAAAATTCCAATTCCAATGCTTAATAAATAAACCTGCACCTACCCGTTTTTGGAGTTGGTATGAATGAATTTTTATATTTACTGGAGACTGACTTTATACAATTTTTTAAACCCACTATTTTATTTTAGACAAATAAAAAGTCAATTTTACGACTACGCATATTTATAGAACTTTACATTTGGCACTATTTTATCATAGATTAGCAGTCGCCATTAAGTCGTTTTTATGAAAACCAATACAAAAGTAAGAGTTATATGCAAACAATTTTTATGAAAAAAATTTATTTCATTTCTATCTGAACACGCGTATACGCACACGCGTATTTTAGGTCATTGATGATGACCTCCATAAGTAATTCAACAATATTATTAAATAATACCAAAGGGAGGGCGGCCTGGTGGATACGAATTTGATCTTGAATAACCCCGGAACGGTTTGTCGTAGCGGGTCAAAATTTTGAACAGACGAGCATGTTATCCTCAGATAGTTGTGTGCAAAATTTCAGCCTTCTACTTTGAAAAATGCCTGCCCCACAGCCCCCAGAAGCTGAGACAGTCATTTCAAATAGTTCCAGAAAAAATCTCGCCCGTGTTTGCAAAAAATTTTATTTGAATATTCTGTTGAGGAATAGAAGTGAGCTATTGGTGACAATTGACGAAGAACTATTTTCCCTACAAGTTACTAATTGGGTTCGAAGAGCTTACTACACGACAAATGCCGAAAAAAAATTCAAGAAATTTGGTGCTTTTCAGTGAGGAGAACTTTTTTAAACAGTTGATGGTCGTGGGTGCAATGTCCTGTCGTGGTGTCCTCCCACTTATCAAAGTCCCCCAAAAAGTGAAGGAATCTTCGAAGTATTATGTGGACCTTGTACTGAAACCACTTTTAGAATACAATTTTCCTAATTTGCACGGTAAAATAATAATTAAGGTGATTTTTCATCATGACGGAGCGTCCTCCCAGACGGCAAAGTTGACCCAAGATTATGCAAATGACCTTGAACCTAGATTGGGGATAAAAATCATTTGGAATAGTGAAATACCTATACAATCCCCTGATATAAGTCAAATCGACTTGTTTGAGTTCGGATAGATGAAAAGAAAATCTTTCTGTGGGGACCGAATTTTTTAGACGGAGTTTGGAAAAAGTTGAAACGAGTGTCTCAACTTCTGGGGGCTGTGGGGGAGGCATTTTTGAAAGTAGAGAGTTGAATTTTTGCACACAACTATCTGAGGATAACATGCTCTTCTGTTCAAAATTTTGACCCGCTACGACAAACCGTTCCGGGGTTATTCAAGGCCAAATTCGTATCCACCAGGCTGCCCTCCCTTTAGTAATATGTAATGTTAATATTTATTAGCATAACAACGACGATGTGTGAATTAGTTTGAGTATGACAATAAAATCTTGTAAATCTAAAAGCATGTCAGGAAAATAATGATTTGATGATAAACCTAAATAGCAATCCTGAATAAACATGGGGCAAACTATGGTTAACTTTAAACTATTTAGTACCCAGCACGTGGCACATGTCCAATTTTAAGCATATCAGCGTTTTAAGTATTTCAACATTATTTTAAATTAAATGATGCACAGATGTATTTATATCCGAAAGGAAATACAAAAACCTATTTTATACATATTTATTTTCATATGTATTCCTTTTATCTTTGGTAAATACTAAATTTCTATGATTAGGTAGTTAACCTAAATTTGAGGCCAAATATTCGTACGTATTCCTTTCCTGCATATTGCTAAATAAATACTACATACTTACATTACTAGCAGTATTATATAATGTTGGTTACAACTTGCTGGTTATATATAACCCAAAACTTTTGTTTTATTACGAGGAGTTGAGCCGACTGTTCTGTTCTTTCTTGAAATTTGTTTTTCGAAACAAGAATAAAAGCAATTAACACATATTTTCGCAGAGCTTTTACTTTTTTGGCACGTCTTAGCATTTAGTTAACTTTGAGCGTTATTTAATAGTTCTGTGGTTCTAATCCCAACGTTTTAAGGTGGGTATTCTGTATGTATGTACATAGATAGTATATGTACAGTATATGTACCGTGTATGTACGTACGTAGTACATAATAATCCTATGCAAAAGTTGCATGAGAGGAGAAATGAGACGGGCAATCTCACTTATTTATGGACCGTGCAGGTCGTATGTGGCGTGAATTATGGATACAACGAGGACAAGAAATTCTGTTCGATTCATAGTGAGCGCACTTTCCTCTCACTGCAGACAAAATCATGCCATGCAAAGCTTGTGTCTCACGCGACGACTGGCGTCTGTCAGTGTGCAAAATAAACTGCACATACAAAAACACTTATTTATTGCTCCCATGCAATTGCAATAGGAGCGATTAATTTATATATTTCAATGGTCCAACTACCTGAAAAACTTAAAATTTCTTAAAATCTTGCTCACATTTGTATGATCATATCCGTATAAAAACGGTCAGCATAGAAACTGATCCAGAAAAATTATTGAAACCCATGGACCCTTTTACAAAAACGCAATTCTAAAGGTTTAACTTGCTCAAAATGGAAGGAAGTCATTAAAAATACTAATGTTTCAATTTGCTTTCAAAAATTTAAAATAAAATTACTCTTTAAAATATTAAATACAATTTCATGCACGAAATGTACTTATGTATGCGTGCATAACCTGTGCAAAAAACAGTAAATAAATAACATCGATCTTTTTATTGTTATAGTCTTAAGCATCTCCATCCCAAGCGTAATAAAAATTATTACATAATTCCATCATACTGTAAAAAAACCAACACCAAGATCACCATTATAAATATACCATCTTCTCACCAAGCTAAACAAGTTTTACATTGCAAATAAATATGCGAATACGTGCTGCGATTTGTCGTACTGTTCACTAACTGGATACGATCGAACATACGATGAATATCAGCTTCATTGCAACACTGATAACTTGCCGACCTTGTGTAACACCAAAGTCCAGATTTTAAGTGTGTAGTGATGCACGTGCATGCATACACAAAGTCCAGCTGGATGTACCTACTTAACCGTTTATGCAAGCGATAAAAATCGTCATTCAAGTACTTTTTTACTGTCCAATTCTCACACCTACATACGCAGTCAAGCGGACAACAACTTATAAACACAACCTCAATTTTTACGAAGGTTTTTTTTGTACAAATTTATTTTTAAAAAAATGGTGGTGGCGAAAATCATATTCGTTGCGAATTTAATCGTACTAATCGCATTTTTTGGTACGATGCCAGTTTTCATTAAGATACAGGGTGCATTTAATTACTATTTTGATTATACGGCTGCCTTGCTGGAGAATGAGTCGGGACAAGTTTACGACTTTATTGTGGGTAAGTTGTTGATCTCAAGTATGGATAAATGGGGGTATTCATGGCGAATTTTTAAACGCTGCAAAAAATCATTTAAAATTCATTCGCGATTTGGTGCATCTCTGAGGCAAGTTTAGAATTTGTTTTTAAACTTTTTTTGCTTTGCGAACTTGTAATTTTAGATTTTCATATTCACTCGTTCATAGAAAATGGGTAAATATGAAGTTCACTAAATCAATGCATAGTGAATGAATAATTTTTTGAACGAATGAAGACATATTTATCCATTTCATATTCAAGAAGAATGAATTTTATTCAGGATTCATTTTTCACTTAATATGTTCGGAAATCTATCTCATACGGTAAATTTGTGTATGCAATGAACAACAGATGAATAAATATTAATTTTTTAATTTTGAACAAATGAAGCATGGATGAATATTTTTTGAATTTCTTGATTCCATGCAAATTGAATGAATTAATATTTTATGCCCAATGAGTACCCCCAATGAAAAAGAACTGTTGACTAATTCCGAAACTCATTTTTCTTTACAAACTTTGCAGTCGGTTCTGGTTCCGCTGGTGCAGTTTTGGCGAACCGATTATCCAAGAATAACAAAGTCCTCGTCTTAGAAGCCGGTGGAGACCCGCTCTTCTACAATTACATCCCCATGCTGTCTAACGCCATGTTTGGTCGACCGGAAGTGGACTGGTTGTATAAAACAGAGCCGCAAAAATTCTCCGGAAAATCTTTCGTTAATCAGGTAAAAGAAATGTATAAAATTTAGCCACGTTGAAAATTTTCTTAAAAATACGTTTATAATTTCTCTAGCAATTTCCCTGGCCACGTGGTAAACTCGTGGGTGGCTCGAGCAACCTAAATTACCAAGTTTATATGCGTGGAAATCCAAACTGTTATGATAACTGGGCCAACAGTACGGGTGACCCGACCTGGAAATATGACAATGTTTTACCCTACTTCAAAAAATCGTTGGATTACCATGGCCAATTTGCAGAAAATAGTGAGAATTTTAATGAGCTATTTAATTATTCAAGCAAATTAAAAAAATACAGTTCGGTGTTAACCTTCGCAGATGAATAATTTCGCAAGCAATTTTTCAAAACAAAAAAATATTCAAACTTTAATTTGCAACTTGCAAATGATGCGAACTATTCATAGTAATGAATTCCCCTAAATTTTGGTGGCTGGAATTACAAGAATAATCTTAAGCTATTAAAATCGAATTTAAAATCAAGCTTCAAATAAATTTTAATTTCGCAGAGGAGCACTACGGTGAATCAGCGTATGGATTTTTGCACGTGGAAAAGCGGAAGTGGGTGCCACCCTTGCATCAAACTTTTCTCGATGCAGGCAAAGAGCTTGGCTATGACGAAGTGGATGTCAATGGACCACAAAGAGTGGGTAAGCAGTTTTCGCCAAAATTCTTAATTAGATAATTGTGCAGTTAGAAATTAAAAATAACTAATTCGTGCATAAATTTAAATCCTTAGGATTTGGTCCGATTGAAGTCACGCAAAAAAATGGGGAAAGATTTGGCACGTTTTCTGCATTTATTAAGAATAATTTAAGGGGCAAGTTTAACCTGGTAATTTCCCGATATTCCCATGCAACAAAGGTACTTACAGAATTTAAATATATTGAAAATTATTACTGCTGGTTTATAATAACAGAGATAACAAAGACGGATAGGTTATCTGGCAGATTAACAGGGATAGCAAGTATTGATTTTTATGCAAAACAATTTTGCGATGTAAACAAACATTGCTAGATAACCTTGCAGATTTGTTTGTCTCTGTATTTTTGATCAACAATACATCTCGGATTTATTTAATTAATCTCATTTTTATTTTTGCTAAATTTCAAAAAAGCTAAAACTTGACAAATCCGGTCGTGCCGTGGGAGTCTGGTATGATCGACACGGAGTCAGAAAATTCGCTTCTGCAAGTAAAGAAATTATCGTCAGTGGTGGCGCTATTGGATCCCCACAGCTTTTAATGCTTTCTGGAATCGGGCCCAAGAAACATTTGGAATCGATCGGGGTATAAAAACCAGAATTTTAAAATTTGACTTATAAAACTTACCACAATTGTTTAAATATTTAGATAAAAGTCAAGGTGGACCTACCAGTCGGTCAAAATCTGAGAGATCACCCGACCGTCATGGTCACCCCAATTTCCATCGACAAAGAATTGTCCTTTATTCCAGAACGGGATTTAGGGGCAGGAACTTTAACCGATTACTTTACTAAAGGATACGGTACGTATTTTGAAAATAAGTAATAACACGAAATATAAATCTTCGTCGCTATACGTACTTGAGAATGAATTTGAACCGATTTTCTGGAACAAATTTTCCCACTTGCCTGCAGAAAACTTTACGCAGAACGATTTGCAACAGAAATTTTCCGAGTCTCTGCAGCAATTTGACAAAATTTTAGGCAGAGCAATTTGTGAACCAGAATTATGCCATTCGGTTCTGCAGAAAAATAAAATTTTCTGCAATGTACACAAATTATGAAGAAAATTATTCGCATCTATCCTTCGCCGCATACTGTAGAATTTGACGTATTGATTTCTACTCTCATAAAAGCACAATTTAAATTAACTTCCGACTTATTTATGTATGCAGGACCCCTCACGATGCCACTCCTTGTCCACTCGGTCGGCTACATGGCCACCCGCTACGCTACCAAGGAGTGGCCCGATCTCCAAATTTTCCTCTCCAGTGTCGGCATCTACGAAAATATCGAGGCCGACTTCGCCAACGAGTTGGGATATGATGAAGCCACCCTCAAAAAATATTTCGGCCCCGTCAAACATCCCGGAGGGAGGGATGGCATGATCCTATTTCCTGTTCTAAATCGACCAAAAAGCGTTGGCCAGATAACCTTGAGGGACAAGAACCCTTACACCCATCCAGTCATGGACCCTCGCTACTTGGAACATCCGCAAGACGTAGGGTCACTCATAGAAGGTAGGCTTATGTATTTTTATTAAGACGTGAAACGAAATCCCTTTTTAAGAGCTTTATGTTCGTCCGTTTTGCTGATAATGTGTGAGCGAAAAAGTAACAGAAAGTTCTAACATACACTACTAAATTTAAGGCAATTTCAAGCTCTGTTTACGTATTTATGTCCAGTCCTTCAAGTTCACTAAGGTCAAAAAGGTGACGTATTCGGCCTCTTTTTTACCTTATTTTTGACAGCTACATTCCTAAATATATTGCTGTCAAAAATCATGCATGTCAATTTAACAAGAGTTTTAGCCTCGAATTAAATGGTAACCTCCATTCTGACCCGTCACGAAAGGCAACTTTCAATCACCCGGACAGTACGCCATACATACACAATACTTATTCTGTAGTTTCACCACGTTGTTGCATACGGTGTAACGATTTAATAGGTTAAATGTCATACTTATCCGTAAATGTATTTTATATTGCAGGGATCAAGTTTTGCCTGAAGCTGGCAGAGAATACGACCGCATTTCAAAGCGTTGGTGCCAAATTTTTGGACGTTCAACTACCCGGTTGTGAAGGTCACGTGTACCGAAGTGACGCCTACTTTGAGTGTTATCTTCGTCATTTTGCAATGCACGTCTGGCATCCGGTCGGCACTTGTAAGATGGGACGAGGCAGGAGCGATCGAACCGCCGTGGTGGATTCGAAACTCAGGTTCGGTCCTTATTCATTTCTCAAGAATCAGAGGGCGGATATTTATTTATTTTCTTGTTTTCATATGATAATGTCCTACTGTACATTAGAGATGAGTCGTGTCAAGGTTTTTTGAAACACGCACGACACGAACACGAAGCTCGTGTCACGTTTTGCACGAACACGAACACGGCTCTTTAAAAAAAATTCACGCACGACACGAAACACGACTTTTTCTGCCAGAAAAATGCCCAACACGCACGAAAAATTTTTTAACACGAAAAAACACGCACGATGCGCACGACCAAACAATTTCGGCTTATTTTGCATTTGAGCACTATCGTGTCGGGTATAACAACAGAATTGCTTGACACTATGATGAATAATTGTCATTTAACCGACATTTTCAATTTTCAGAGTGTAAAAATGCAATTGTACGAATAATTTAGCAACCCTGGTACTAGTAACCAATGTCCCGCTTCACAGCGTGCGTGCAGTGTTAAAAGTACCAACACGCACGACACGAGGACACGATTGGTTTTGCACGCACGCACGAAGTGTTTGAGTGAGGGTTACACGCACGGCACGACACGGCTCGCGTCGACGCACGCACGACACGATGCACGATCGTGTCGTGCGTGTTCGTGTTAACACGAAAAAGTCGTGCGCACGGCTCATCTCTGCTGTACATATGTAAAATTTTTGGTGTATGACAAAAATAATTATAACTAAATTTACTGATTTCTAAATTTTCATAAATAATTATAATATTATTTTTTAAATACGTAAATCTTTGGAATATAGATTTTCAAAAAATACACACGATTTTCAAATATATTGCCACGATACTAGATGAAGTTTTTTTGTTTAAGAAATTGGAACATATATTTAGAATCGTAGGCATTGAATAGACTTTGGAAAAATTCAGGTTTTTATCTATTTATTTCATACATTTTTTTCGGTTTTTCGTAAATATATGTACATGTCTCAGCTATTTTTAAACTTTGTCTCAGCGAAAATGCATAACCGCCCTCTGTTTTAGTTTACTATGTCGAACTAATCTAGGGGTCAAAATGTAATTGGATGCTGAATAATTATGAACTTCAGGGTCCTTGGCGTGCCAGGATTGCGAGTCGCGGATGCTTCAATCATGCCAGAAATCGTGAACGGAAATACAAACGCTCCCGCCATCATGATCGGGGAAAAGGGGGCAGATTTTATCCGAGAATATTGGACTGCTCAGTATCAAGTTTGCGACGCCTGGGGACATGCCGTTCACTTGGACAAATTCAAGTCCTACTACTCTAAATTCGCTTAAGGTTGATAGAAACGGAAACAATTCAAAGTTTAGTCATACCAGTTAAATATGTAAATATGTATTTCGTCATTCAAAATTCAGTTAATTTCAAAATTAGAAACAAATATTCTTTCACTTAGAGAATTGTTTATTGATCTGTTCATTCATTCTATGCTCACCAATTCACAGAGAATGAATGAATATGAACAAGTACATATGTATGTGTATTTGGGTCAAGAACGTAGAAACTTCTAATTCATTCTGAATTACATCCTTGTTTTTTAGTTGTACATATTTAGTTTAGTTATCCAGATTTCTTTCTTTTCACTAGGCAATATATTCAGAAATGTTACGTAACATAATCTTAATTTTCCTTCAAACTCCTCGCAAAGTTCAAGCATCTTTGCGTGCCATTATTATTCAACTGGTCACAAATAAGAAAACGACATATTGAGTGACTGATCCAGGAAAGATAGTTCGTGAATAAGAATACAAGTTTTATCAAGTGTGCCTTAAAGGAACAGGGTATATGTAAAAATAATGAACATGTAATGAATAATGAAAAAATAATGAATATGTAAAAATTCGCCAACTTCTGTACAATTAACTGAACAGTTTTACATATGTCGGGCTATATATTGTACAAAAAGTCACAAATGTACATATGCAGCTTTAATGCGTCATCTTGAAACGAATAATGTATTACTCAATGTCAGAGCTAAAATTCCAAACTTAACTGTATACGAATGAACCTTAAGTAAAGCCGAATAAACACATACAAATACTTACGGAAATATTGTAATTCCTCACAACCGAGCATACCAATTTATTTGCATTGTTCCACAAACCCAGTCCATGTTTCGGATATTTATTTGATCAATAATACATCAGTTAATGATATGTATGTTAACCTTCCATTAAAGTCATTTCCTTCACGAGGCGAACACTTTCAGAAGAACTTCTCAGCTGAAATGTTGAAACTTTTGAGAAAATCGAAATCCTTTTTTGACGTGAACTACATCTACTTCGATGCAAGGGTAGATAAATTTGTTAAGAGGCCTAAAACTAGATCCAACTGGGTAAAACTTATTACCTGTTACCTAATCTTTGGAGCAATTTGTTTAAATGGTTTCTACTCGATATTATTCACCCAACCGGGAATATTGGAGACGTCCTCCATCTTACTCTTCGCATCTCCCTTCTGCGTATCAATGATACTCCTGTCTCCCATGCTTCTTCAGCCGGATCCTTTCGTATTCTTGTTAAACGCAAGACAAGAGTTTGCATTGAGAAATATTAATGGAAACTTGTTACGTAAGTTAATCTTAAGAAACGTTGTTAAATTGCGTAACGATGAAACATGATTTTTAAGACCCGGTCCCAATTTTGAAACCCGTATGTAGATACTCCTGAAACGTTTCGGAGTTTAAAACCGTTGCTTTATCACAACAGGCATTACCATTTTCAAATCCCCCTAATAAATACCTTACATATTTACTTAGATCCTCCGGAAAAACTAGTCGCAAACTGCAAAATCGTACTCAAGTTGTCCCATATCTTGTCCCACATTGTACGGATAGTAGCACCAGGTGTGTTACTGCTACTCATGTTTTTCGAACCGGGTCTCAAGCCGTTTTTAGGATCTGGATTATTTATTGTGTCAAGCAAGGGAGGGCATTTGTGCATAGTGGTGGTGCAGGCGTGGGCATTTTTCTCTATGTGTGGGCCCATGACATACTTTATGTTTATCTTCCTTTGCGACTCGCTACATTGTGCGGTTGAACACCTGTGCTATCTAAAAAGGTAAGAGTTTAACCTTATATATATATTAATCTGCATAGGTTTTTTTAAACTGAATTTGAGCAAACATCCTGTGAACGCGAATATCTGAGATTCAATTATAGTGGGTAAACAATTGGAAGTTGTTGGCTTTAAAAATTTTAATTTATTCAATAAATTATTATGGTTTGGATATTCTATTGAATTTTCCTATAAAAGTGTCCGCCCTATAAAGGCTGCCCAAATATTATATCCACCAGATTTATGTGTCTAGCAAAAAAATGGCAAGGAGAGTGCTTATCTTCTGCAAAAACTTTGAAATTCTAATTTATTTATTTATTTTGATTTCATTAAGATTTTCCCTTTTTAGGACCTTGTTTAATACGTTGATGCTAATAGAAGTTTAATTGTCAATCTTTAGGTCAGATGACTCATTTCGTCGGATACGACTCACCTTGGCGTTACAGATTTTCAAACAACTGCATATTTTGTTGGCCCAAATGAACTTTTGCCTGCGTAACGTGTGTCTTCCCATGTTACTTGTGGCAGTAATCACCCCAAACATTTTGGGGATGAGTTTGACCATTTTATTAAGCGCTAGATTACTTGATCACGTCGGGAACTTGTTCTTCCCTTTGGCTGCTGCTTTCACAACTATATTTATCATTTTATTTGGCACGTTTGCCGGCTATGTGCATAAATGGTCGGGCAAATGTATAACGAAGTTTGGAAAGAGTTGTGCAGTTAATTGTGATAAGATGGAGAGGAAAGTGTTGGGAAGGGTGATAAGGTCATGTACCCCGATGAAAATCAGATTCGGTAATAATTTCATGGCAATTTCGACACCTCTGGTTATCATGGGTTTCTGTGCAAAGTATACGATTCGCCTGCTGCTAATGCAGTAACTCTTCGAGTAGTCAAACAAGTTTTAGTTGAGAATATAGGTTTACGAAAATTTAAAATTCATATTCCAAGGTTTGTGATGAACAGGTTACTGAATTTTTTGCAGTCTTTTATTATGAAATAAATTCATATAAATAATTGCATTGTGTAGGGATTTAATCCATCGCAAGGTTTAATCCTTTGGATATAAATACACACACTTAAACAATGCTTACGAATGCATAGTTCTGCCTGTATAAATATAATGTCGAATTTATGTATTGCTAAATTAAAACGTCCATCTGTAATTTTAAAGTGCATAAATTATTATACAAAGTCAAACCTAAAATTACTAACGTAACTGATTAATTCTAATATGTGGACGAGTAGCAATAATGAAAACCGGAATCTCGAGGGCCACAAAAAAATTTGATTTTGTTAATATTTGCATAGTTGGTAGAGGTGATTTTTGTGAGTACAGCGGCACCAATCGTTTGTTTCAACTCCGCCCCTTCCCCCGGGGGGAGGGGCCCAAAGTCGCAAAAATTGTAAACGGGGCAGCGGATTTCTCCATGATGGATAAAGATATCGAAATGCTACCTTCACCAAAAGTTTCCTAATTTTTTTCTCTACAACCCGAATCGAGGGTTTTTTGAAATTCGAAAAATAAAATTTTCAAAAAATAACTTCGAAAATTTTGGATTAAAATTTCATATCTCATATCACCCCATAAATGGGGTATCGTTGGAAAGGTCTCGGGAAGTGGATTCAGAAAATATATACTTTGTGGGGTCTGGGACCACCCCCTGCAAGTCTAGAGGGCAAAGAACGAAAATCTGCGGATGTCCAGAATTTAACACAGCAGTAGATTGGGAGCTAATACGGAAGCTCGAATGGGAAAAACTCAAAAATATTCCAGACATAAACATAGGGCCAGACTCTGGCCCTATGTTTGCAGGGTGTGGTCCCAGACCCCACAAAGTATATATTTTCTGAATCCACTTGCCGAGACCTTTCCAACGATACCCCATTTATGGGGTGATATTACTTATTTTTATATAAGTTTATTATATTTTTATGTTTCATTATATTTTTTGATATAAGTTATTTTTTGAAAATTTTATTTTTCGCTCGATTCGGGTTGTAGAGAAAAAAATTAGGAAACTTTTGGTGAAGGTAGCATTTCGATATCTTTATCCATCATGGAGAAATCCGCTGCCCCGTTTACAATTTTTGCGACTTTGGGCCCCTCCCCCCGGGGGAAGGGGCGGAGTTGAAACAAACGATTGGTACCGCTGTACTCACAAAAATCACCTCTACCAACTATGCAAATATTAACAAAATCAAATTTTTTTGTGGCCCTCGAGATTCCGGTTTTCATTATTGCTACTCGGACACGATTCTATCATATCAGCCAGTAAAAGACCTGTTAAATTTAATCAAGCAATATAATATTTAATATTTCTCCTCACAACATTAGAACTCTAGCGTTTATGCATTTTGTCAAAAAAACTATCATATTCTAAGGTTTGTGATGAACAGGTTACTGAATTTTTGATAGTATTTTATTTTTATATGTAATAAATTCATGAAATTGCATTGTGTACGGATTTACTTCATTGCCACATTTGAACAAATAAACAAGTTTCAAAACCAAGTTTGGATATAAATACAGACACTTAAGTAAGGCTTATGCATACTTCTGCCTATATCAATATCTATAATGTCAAAATGCAGTATTGATGATTCATCTGTTATTTTAAAGTGCATAAATTATTATTCAAAGTTAAACCTAAAATTACAAACTCAAATATATAATTATGAAATCGACATAAATATATCATAAATACATCAGCCACCAAAGACTTGTTCAATTTAATCGAGTAAGAAAATAGTTAATATTATTCGTCACGACAGCAGACCTTTTACCTTGATTCTGTTAAAAACCTCGGATAATTTAAGTTGCTGATAAATGGTCGTGTGGGACCACAATTTTTACAAATCGGGCTACCCTGTACAACAAATCTTCAAAAATTACCTTCAAAAACGATAATCCTTCCACTAGTTACATTTTATCTTTTATGGATTTTTTTATAACGTTTATGCATCAATTTATGCATTATGTTTTGGCTTTCTATGTAAATAAATATGTGCCCAGTTGGTGAGCGAAAAGGATTTACACAATTGGCACGCGGCGAAGGTTTTATCGATTATTTAGCGTCACCTTGGATGACTTTTGACATTGATACAGGTTTTTTATTATCCTTACATCCCTGCCATTCACCTTGTCACGCAACGATATATTTTAAATTTGTTTCATTGATACCTATCTTCCTACGTACGTGGAAACCTCCGTGTTCGTTGAAAATCGATTCAATCTTAAACAACGACTCTTAACTTTTTGCTCGATTCTTCTTACTTTCTAGTTCCAATTTTAAAAATGTTATTTTATCTGCTGCAAAAACAAACTATTCTACTATCAGTTAAACTTCTACTTCTCCCCTTCTTTCCAGGATTGTCCCCTTCCCCAACTAAAACCATCGACTTTGATTTCAAATTAAATTTAAAATTAGACAACGTTGACAGCTGTGTTTTCAAAATTAAACGATTTTCTGACTCCAATTTGTACCAAGATATTTCAGAGATCCTCTTACACAGCAACAATCCTCGCAATAAAATATTCTATTTCTTCAATTCATTTAACGATACGGCACTAACACCCGATACATTTTTACTCCATGATATTCACTTTTTCGAAATATGCGTCATCAATTTCATAATCAAATACGATGCCGAAGACGGTCCCCGGCGAATAAAGTTTATCTCAAGTAACCGAGACTCTTTAAGAGGGATGCAATTCTCGGTTTGGATCGTAATCACGGCTCTATCTAGACAAGGTTTTCTTAATAACTGTTCACATTCATTCTTTTAACACAGAATTTATCAATTATTCATTCATTATTCAATTATGCAATTCCAGCATTAGGAGTGAATAATTATTTCACATTTTTAAATGAATGCATATTTAAAATAAATATTTATTCATTTCATACTCATGAAGAATTTTTCTCGTTCTTAATTTTTCATGGAACACTTATGGGGGGTACATTGAGTAATTTATCCACATACTTAATAAGGCTA